AAAAAAAAGGAAAAAAAAAAAGATTGAACATAATAAATTCCCAAACCTTTTGTACAGAGAAATCAAACTAAATGAAGAAAACATCTCATATTAGTCCATGAATCCTCGCTTGCATTAAATCGGGAAGGGAGACACATCCGTGTCTAAATGAGGCTCTCTGTGTTGTACGCAGTATCAGTCTATTACACTTGCTGGTTTTATTGGTTTTATATGGAATAAGAACCAGCAAGACTAGGCCATTCAATGAGTAATCCAGTAATGTCTATGATAGTGTGTGCGTGCGTTCAGAGGTTACCAGTGTGAATGTATCAGGAGTAGGCGAAACTAATTAATTGTACGCATGTCTGTGTGTGTGTGTGTGTGTGTGTGTGTGTGTTAAGAGTCTCGTGGTTTAAGCCAGTCCAAACCCCTCTGAGCATTCCTGAATGGCCAACAGCAGCATATGTCTCAGCTTCTCGTAGCTCTCATAGGCTGGAAGGTCCAGCTGGTTAAAGCTGAAAAAGACGAGAGGAAAGGAACCATTTTTAGCTGTGTTTACTTCAGTTGACTCGTTTACACCTCATGAACTAGCTTCATAATTACCAGGTATGAGCAGATGGCAGGCGGTCAGTTGAACGATCATCACGGTGGATTTGAAACTTCTGGATGCCGTTCATGCCCTCCAGAGCTGCAAAACCCTGGAGGGGAACCTTAGACGTGCCAGTGACGAACTGTAGGAACTTGGCCCGGTCTGCCTGATCAAAAGATCGCAAGGCTCTCCAGAACCACTGAATCTATTATTGAAAAAGTCAAATATGTTTTAATACAAGTTTAACTTCTGACTAAAAGAAAATGAGAAAATGTAAGACATTTGTATTATTGGTTAAAATCTCGGTTCATCTAAACTGCAGGTTTAGATCCTCTATCTGGTAAATCTTCTAGTTACTCTTAAAGGAGACATATGATGCTTTAAATCCTCCTTTTTCACATTTAAATCATTCAGCTGGGGTCTATATAAAGTGGAACTGCAATGCTTCTGAATTCCTCTTTATTGTAACTCCACAAGTTTCTCTTTCACCACTTTTCTGAGGTGTGTCTCAGAGGATCTCGTTTTGAGGCTGTCTCTAAATCCAAACGAGGTGCTTCGCCCCCCGACCTCCTCCAGCTGAATTGTGGCTGGCAAGTCCAGACCTTATTTGGCAGCTCAGTCGTAAATGCTTTGACATAACAGTTCAAAAAATGTCATAGAAAATGGAGAAAACTGAATGGGTTGAAAAACATGATATAAACAAAATATAAAATGCATCTAAGTAGCACAGGGAGAGACTAAATTCAAATTTTCTGCACATWGAGACTCCAAGTACACAACATAATGTATTTAACGGCTAAAAAATGTGGATTTTGTAGGATATGTCCCCTGTAATTGCTCCATTAGCTCCCCAACGTGGCTGTTTATATCTAGGCAGGCATACGTTTGTTTCTCTGTACCTGAATAGAGCTGGATTGGTATTTGTGATATTCAGTGTTGGCCTTCAGGTCATCAATGTCAATGGTGGGTAGGCCAGAGATGAGCAGCTCCAGCTCCTGCTCAGTGAAGATGGAGATCAACCGCTTGGGGATGATCTCGTAAAATCCCTCAAGGAAGGCTGCCAGCTGTTTGCGGATTGCACCTAGAAAACAAATCAAAGTGGAAATATTCTTAGTTGTTAAACAACTAATGGGTTTCTATTTGAATATTTTTGTTTATGGGCCAGATGAAAATTCAAAGCTTCACTGAATTAATGTGTCCTCTCAGTAGCTCAGCGCTCCTGTTCTAGAAACCTCATTTACTGTTGCATTTATAATAACTGACTGCTGCCCCCTGGTGGCTTCATTTGGAATAAACCTTAATGAGCATGTGTAACATTAAAATACTAATAGGCTATGTTAACATTCCCTAATATGACACAAAAAATTCAGTTTATATGAAAATCATCTCATCCTCACCTGTCATCTTCATCTGGCACACCAGGTGCACATACTCCTTCTTGTTTTCTTCTGTGACCACTATGTTGGCTCCATTCGGCTTGAGGTCTCTAACTTCACACACTCCAAACTCTTGGACCTAAAAACAACAAGATAAACAGTTTAAAATCCAAGTGACATATAAAGACCTATTTACAAACATGTAGAGGAGAAACATCAAAGACTCTTTTAAACATTTCAACACTAACCTCTGTGCTAAATGTCAGCTCGTAACCCAGTGTGGACACATGGTTCTCCAGCAAGTATACCAAACCCTGGAAGAACGGGTAGTCCTCGCTTTCCATGTCTGTATACCTGAGAAATCCACAAACGTATACAAGTTTCACAAATTCAGTAAAATACAACAATTTACAGCTCATCACAAACATTTATTGACAAATGAAACAAGGTTGCTAAAATAGTTTGTGCAGTTAAGGTACAGCTTAAAGACGCAGATTAACTTGTGACAGCTGCCTGCAGCTCAGATACCTGACACTCTTTCCCAGGATGTGTTTGTAAAAACTGCGGGTGAAGTAGCATTCCAGTAGCCGGTTATCGTAGACGGCCTTGGCAACAACACGACCCACGAACTTAAAGTAGCTGAGATGGTTGGGGTTGCAGTGAGACGACGGGTTTATGGTGTAGGTGACGCGGTCCCCTGGGGAGGTGCGGAACAGGGCGTACATCGGGTTGAACATCTCTCTGGAGATTATCATGTACCATTCCCTCAGAAGGCCGCCGGCATCTTGACCCTCCTCCCCTTCAAACACAATATACCTGTAAGAGAAGGAAGAGGACGACACAGGTGTAGTGGCTCAGATTTGGCAGGAAGTGAGAACACAACAAGAAAAAAAAGCCTTACAGCCTGTTCTTCATGTCCTCGGGGCTCTTGCGATGCAGTTCTCTGTAGGAATCCTCAAACACATGATCTCGTCTCACGTGCACAGCCATGTCCTCTTTTCTCAGACCTTCATCCAGTCGCTCTAACTCCTGACGGAAGTACCTGGAGCATTGGAAACGATAATCATTACTCTCAAACTGTACGTAGCATGACACATGGTATCAGAATATGAGACTATAAGAGAATTTTCCATACTTCCTCTTAACATCGAAGTCCAGGATGCGTATGTAGTCAACCAGCACGGCAAAAGGTCCATCAGCCAAATGAGTGGTAGACTGTCGCAAGATCTGATTTAGCACAGTGCGATGAGTTTCTGAAAACATCAGTCAGACTTATTAGAAACTGCACAACACATTCAAACAAAGCTTTACACTTTTACTTTAAAGATTTCAGGCTCACCGGCAAAGCGGAGGAACTTCTGGGTGTCTGGTGGCAGATTTGAAGAAATGTGCATCGAGGATGGTTCCCTGGAAAAGAAGGGGTCCAGAGATGAAGGCGTGGCAGGTGTCAGGGGTGCTGGGGACAGCGGCGGAGGCTCGTCTTTGATGTGAGAAAGCTGACTCTCCCGCGTGTCCCTCACAGGAGGTTTGCTCTCTCGTTCTGTGGCGTGAACTAAAAAGAAGGCCTCCACAGCAGGCTGAAGCACTGGGGACATAAAACGTTGGTCAAAGTAATGCATCACAAAAACAAAGGTCCTTCAATAGAAAATAAATGCCTTAAACACTTACCCAGCACAGCATGCTGATCATGAGACTCCTCCAGCTCTTTCAGGCACTCCCCAAGCATGTCCCACAGTTCATCCAACAGCAGCTGCTCACTGAGCAGAGGGAGGTCAGGAACTTTCTCTTCACTTTCTGACTGACCATTTCCTTCTTCATCTAAAAAGAGAATAATCCAATTCAGATCATTTGCATAGATGATTTACAGACTGTTGGATGAATTACTTCAGAGTTTGTGAAGAAATGAATACTTGTCTTTACCATTAATTTCACCATTTTACTCAGTAAACATGAAAAAATGTCAGTAAGGTACTCACTACATTACCTGAATAGAAGTTTTTTTAAATAATTTACTGGGTAAAGGCAGTGTTTGAAGTTTTCATTAAGGAGTGTCATACCCAGCGGTGCAGGGTCTTGCACTAGAGGAGATGGCTGGTCGACATCCATTGGAGACTCATCTCTCTGTGCTGACTGGGCCTCAGGTGCTGACTGCACTTCAGACTACAGAGAACAAACCAGATAAATCATCATCAACAGAAAAAACAGAATAGTGTTATTGTTTTTTTACAGTAATACAGAGTGACAGACTGTCATGCAAAATGACATTCTTCAGATTCAAAAAGAGAGGATGTTTTTAGGGAAGCAGGTTGGGGAAGAAGCCTGAAGCCATATCAGCGGACAAAAAGACATCAGCACTGTAGCAGGCAGTACATTCATATCTACATCACATTTTTCAAACAAAACATGTGCAAAAAGACTGAAACATAATGCAATGAATCACAGGCATATCTGTCTGATGGGGCTGTCAACATTCATCGTGAATGCAAAGATGATGTCACAATGCATCAAACATCTGAGCTAGAAGTGACTGGGTGAGATCTTACTGCATCCTATTTACAAATAATCCAAAATAATTGCATTGTAATGATTGGTTTAGCTTAGTTTCCATATCGCATGAAGCCGTTACAGCCACGGCCAGATTAGACAGAAAGCAAGTCAGTGAATATCTTTCATATTTATCTTGATAAACACCTTGAACAAATCTAACTATACTATTGAGCCAATTTTTCTATATTTTTTACTCATCAAATGGTGTTTTCTTGTATGTGTGTGTAGTGTTTAAGTATGGGTATGCCTGCTGTCAGAGCAGCCCATGCTAACCGTGGCAGCAGCAGCCGTGCCAGTAGGGGCAGCAGCACCAGTGGGAGCATGGGGGGCAGCCACAGAAGATCCGGCGGCAGAGGCAGAAGGGGCAGTTGGTGGAGGGGCTTGTTGGAGTCGACGTGCACGCTGTCCCTCTCTCACCATCTGAATAATGGCATCAGCCTCAGCCTCAAGCTGACGCATGGTAGCCTCAGTCTCAAGCTGACGCACGGCAGCCTGGATGCTGCTGGCTGAGCCCAAACTGCTGGAGCCTGAAATTTCAGGAGAGTTTAATAAATCATTGAATAGCTCAGATCAAGAAGAGTTCATCTGTTGCGTCTCCTCACCTAATCGACCRGTTTGTTTTGCTTTTTTGTTGGCACGCCGAGTGTCTTCACGTAACTGGATTATAACCTGCAGCACTCGCAAGAAAAACTTCTGTGTTGAAGTTTTGGATGTTAGTGAGCTCATACAAGGGAGCTGCAATTCACGGCCTCCCAGTGTGCGTTTCTGTGTAGCCACAATCACCACACTCTCTGACCCGTCAAACCTGTGCACCAACGAGATCACATATTTAAAATATCATCACCACATATTGTCAGGTCATTATGACTCAAGTCAAGTAAGTTAAATTAGCGCTGCATCAGTGCACATTGCACAAACACCTCTTGCTTACCTGCTGGTCATTTTGCCTTTTAGTCTAGCTGAGATGGAGGAGTCCTCTGGAGGTGCATCTGGTGAATTAGAGTCAGACTGTGCCTGTCTCTGCTGCTCCAAGTTGTACTCTCGGAGTTCAGCCAGTAATGTGCCTGAGAGAAAAAAATAAGATGAAATGTTTGAAACTTTTTGAAGAAATCACATATTTAAAACAAGGAAAGAATAGAAAGTGATGCTTAAAAAATACAAAACTGACCGATCTGCTTGCAAAGTGTGTATCCGAGGTGTCGAGCTCCACTGAGCAGCAGTCTGAGCACCGTGTCTCTGGTGGCGCCGTCGCCTCTGGATAGCTGCAGCAGAATATTCGCAGCATCCTCTAGACCCTCCTCTGAACACGAGTGAGACGTCAACACCTTTTTAGGAGTGAAATACATTAGGAATTATTGATTAAATGTCAGAAAAAAGTATTTTCACCAACTACCAACATCTACTTTTACTTTAACAAAAATAGCAATTATAAAAATCTCGGGGACAAAAAGTTTCTTAAGGTTTGTTTTACAATCCTTTTAGTAAAGGAAGTTTACTTCTGACCTAATGGAGCATTTACTTATCATATATGAATAGAGCAGTGTTGGTAAACTTTGTTTTTCAATCTCAATTAGCCACAGAATGTACACCAATACCTGGGTGATTTTTTTGAAAGGCGGATAGTAATTTTTACTAAAGAGAGCTTTAAGAATAAATGTGCTAAACCTGTTTTTGAATTTTGAAGCTTAAGAGGAAAAACAGTTAAAACCTCAGAAGCCACAAACTAAATATGCTCACATTAGAAATGGCTCTGTACAACAAAAACATTTGGTTGTAAAATCAATAAATACCCAATCAACTTTGCAAAGTGAAGCAACAAATCATAGACCATGATATTTCAAGTACCATGTATTTATGTTCTGCAAGCAAAGTTTATTTGGTCAAACAAAAACACTGGCCATGATGTCCACACCTGGTTTAAATTATAAATTTAACAATTTTCTCTCCATACCTCCACAGAAAGTTGAAGTTGTTTCTCTGTGAGTCCAGCAGAGGCCATCTTATCACTCTCTGTACTACCAGTAGTCCCCCTCTGTTTCCCTATTTGCGTAAAACAAACAATTAAGTTCTAGGAAATATTTTACAAAGTAGAAATGAACTCAAGCAATTTAATTACATTATAGGTTTAACAGTACCTGTAGAGGTGATTCCAGTAGATGTGGGTATAATTATTGTAGTAGAGGATGCCTGGGAGATTGACAGATTTGTCCCTGAGGATGTACTCTGCGCTGCAGCTCCTACCAAGACCCCAGGAGCTGCCACAGTGGGCTGCCCAGAGCCCACTGACGTCGTGCCTTGCGTGGGGACTGAAACACTGGCACCTGAGCTTGCTGTGTTAGGGTTGGCAACCTGTGGAGTCTGGTGTCCTGCAGGCACCTCAGTGGCCTTGTTGTCAGGCAGAGCAATGGATATGAGGGAGAGAAGGCGCAGCAGCTTTTCTGTCAGCAGGGAGCTCCGCCTGATTACGGGATGAGACAGCATGTTCATCAGCTGGCCAAGAGGAGAAGTCTCCAAGCTGAACTGTGCTCCTTCAGCGTCTGCACCGGCACCCAGAGGTACCATTTTCATAGAGGCTTTGCCCTTGCGGCTGACATTCATGTTGTCAAGTTTGACAAGCAAGTCCCAAAAATCTGTGGAGATGCCTAAAGACTGAGGGGTAGCTGCAGATGAGCCCAAGGGATTCTGAGTGTTTGAGGCAGTGGGATTTATCTGTGACTGAGACCCTGACCTAGAGCCCAAGCCTACACTCACTCCCACAGAAGAACCTGAAGAAAGTCGAGAATCCAGATCAGAAGCAGCAGTTGATAAATCCTTGCATCGCTGCTGGGTGAAGTGACTAGGAAACACCTGCAGAATCAAACAAAGAGAAACGAAGACTTGCAACTTTATTGAATTTTTTTTTTGTCATTTCAATGATTAAAAAAAAAGAAAAATGAAGCAAATGTAMATCTGCACAGTGGGATGCTCACCTTTGCTAACTGGATGAGTGTGTCCAACACATGTCGACAGACCACTGGAGCAGCTTGTGGGTGAATGTGAACTGTAGAGCCTCCACCTCCAGCACATGTGACACCTGTAGCGGTGCCTGAGACTCCTCCCCCCAGCGTTCCAGATCCTGTGGCACCTCCAGCTGAATGTCGATCAGCGTGCTTCCTTCCTGACGCTCGCTGAATCTGGAAAATGTTTGTCCTGCAGCCCAAAGCTGCATCCATAGAGACAGAAAGCCAGGAAAGCTGGCTGGAGCTACGAGACTCCACCCTGTTCAACAGCTCTATAGAGGATGAGGAGGATGAAGAGTGAGAAGAGCTGGCTGGACCTTTCCCTCCACAGCCTCCTTGGATGCTTCTCTTGCCACGGGAATCTTCTAGGCGTGATGTCTCCAGACATACTTCACTTTCGCTGCTGCGTTGGAGGATGGACAGCAGGCTGCGGATGACCCACCCTCGTGTTTGAGAATGGTAACAGAGGTTCCTGAGAACACGGTGCAGACGGCTGGTGTTCAGCTTCGGTTCGTCTACAAACAGCAAAACCAGCAGGCAAGACAAAGCCTCGTGGTCTAGCAGCAAACGTCCACGCAGGCGCAACAAAGAATCCACATTTGAACTAGATGGTCTGAAAATATAAAAACATTCAATTAAGAGTCATAATCAGTGCCACTTGATTTAGATATTTTAGAATATTTTTATAAACAATTTCACGTATCTAAAATGCTGCACACACTTTTAAAGACGAGCTCATTTAAAACAGAGGAGTCAGCAGAACTTTTTTTCACCTGTGGTTCGTTCCTCCACCCATTTGAAACGTCCCTCCTCTTTGGACAGCCGGACGGGTATACGGAACGCCACGAATACTTCCTAACCGGCTGGTGAAAGCTGGTGAGCGCAAGATTGCTGAAAGGGCTGAAGATGAGCTATGACCAAACAATCTATCATGCATTAGTTGTCTCTGACGGGCCTCTTGCTCTCTTCGCAACGCAGCTGCTTCAGCAGCGATGTCTGGAGGCATGACAGCCAACACGCTGTCCTCCATGTCCTCGAGGACACTGCGACGAAGCTCTGAAGGCAGAGTCTGGATGAAGGTGACTGGATCCAGTGGGGTGTCTCCCTGTGGAGGCTGTTGAGCAAGTTCTCTACGCTGCTGCTCAGCTCGTTGTTGGGCAAGAACCTAAGACGATCATTGACACACTCAGTAAAAAGACCTGATTATCAATGAATATTTATCAATGAACATTCTGCCTTCTTAAATCTTCTCACCTCCTCTTGAATGGCAGGTGGCAACGCTGCCAGAAACTCAGGGCTGACCTCTGTAACTCCTGGACCTCCAAGCACTGGTGCATTAGTGGTGGGTAAGGTTGTGGCAACAGGAGGACGTGATGGAGGTCTGATGCCAAGCTGATTTTGCAGGACCTCTCGACGAATGTCCTCCGGAAGAGCTGCTAAGAAGGATGGGTCCACACCTTCTGGCAAACTGATCCCTGTGCAGACAACAATGTTAAACATTAAGTCATTTTTAGGTGAACTACCAGAGTGAGTATCACACTCAACCTCCATCAACCTATTTTACCTGCAAGTGGGTCCTCATCCTCATTGCTGGTGGACGGGAGAGGCTCCTCTTGAATGGCCTGGGATTGGCTGTCAGCACTATCACTCCTGGGCATTGTTTCTCCCGGGGAGGACACAGATGTGGAGCTGTTAAAGGAGACCAATTATGGGTCCTAGAAATTTTTATGGTATGTCTGTGGGCTATCCAGACCATGTTCATTCAATTTAATGCACAAAATAATTCTCAGATAATAAAATTTCCCATTTTCTAGTTCTGCCTGCTCTGACTTCCGTTCAGAACGAGTGTTTATGTTAATGAGCTCTGTTGGTAACGCCCTCCAAAAATCTGTTGACATTAACTCCACCCTCCAAAGCCAGCGTTTACGTTAGCATGGCTAATAATAGCAGAAGCTCCGTTGTACAACCGTATATATGAGATATATACGGTTATGAGATATATACGTTATATATGAGATCCTGAGTCAGACCCAGAGGCAGAGTCGTGGTCACAGCTTTTTTTTTCTCCCCCTCCTCCTGTGTCGGAGCTCTGCGCTCACTCTGCATGCTGTTACCAGGGCAGGTAATTGGAGCAGCAGCAGTCAWAATACCTCAGAAACTCGAACAAATAGGCTAAACAATAAACAATAGAGGTACATGAGAAAACGTGTCCATAACAAATGAAAATAAATAATTAAACTGTTTGTGTTTGTGTCAGTCTCGAACCCTGGTCTCCCACTCTGCTCCAACACTCTACCCATTGCCCAATTGGAAGGCTTGTTGTGAAATGAGCTGCGCATTGCACAACAACAACTGTGACGGCTTTTTATACTGAGGAGGTGGAGCCTCACCCGGGGGTTGCTAGGTGAGGGGTGGCTCCGGTGGGTTGTCGTACGGCTTGTGGCATCACAAAATGACGGAAGTATAAAACTTGTCATTAATATACATTAAAAATACATTTACTTACAGTAAATATGCCCCTGGGTGAATTTGTTTTTTTGGTCCTAGGACTGTTTTTATTTTAGAATTACATACCCAAAGTTGAGAAAAAAACCTTTCAAAAGTGAATTTTGCATAATAGGTCCCCTTTAAATAAGAATACATTTTTAAAAAATGGATAATGTGGAAAAGATTCACACACTTGCAAATTTTAYTGAACAACTAAGTCATTTTGATTTAGTTTAAGACAATTAAATCTTCAGAGATTCACAGCAAACTGAAATCCCTGTTGAAGGACGAAGACATTTAACATGATTTTGCCAAAAGACATTTTAAGCTAATACTGACCCAGTCTCTGCATCCGTCTGTCTGTCAGTCAGTCCACTCTCCCCGCTGCCGGACAGCTCTTGTGACAGCTGGGTAGACTGAGCAGGGTTGGAAGCAGCGTCTTCCTGAGTAGCAGAAGCAGGGCTGCTGGTGTCCATCGGTGACCCTTCCAGTTGTGAAACACCAACCACTGCGGGTTCTGAATTCTCTACAATATCTGGACTTAGGGAGGCTGAGGGTTAAAAAAAAAAAAAAAAACATGAATTAGCTTAATCTGTCAGGGTTTATTAAAAAATGATTCTAGCTTAAACTGAAATTAATACCACATTTTAATTTATTTGTAAATTTGTTTTAAAGAGATTTTTAAGTTAATCTACCTTCCCTGGCTTCATCCAAAACGCCTCCACCGACACCTCCTCCAACTCTTTCACCAATGATTGGTGCTGGGGACATTTCCATCTGCGATGCTTCGGCTTCACCGTGTGGCCTTTCGGGCGCTGACAAAGATGGAAGGCCAGTACCAGCCAGAGCAGCCAGTGAACTGGCATGTGATTCAGCCAGGAGCAGGTCAGCAATTGGCTGGTGGACCTGCTGACTAATAGCAGTCTCCAAAGAGACCAGTGCCTGCTCATGAGGAGCAGGGGTTGTTGGAGTCACCTCTCCAGACGGAGGAGCAGTGAGGAAMCCCTCTGAGACCCTGGGTGTGTCTAGACATGACATCGTACCATCCTGAACTTGTTCACCTTCTGTAACATCCAGGGAAGCAGATGTATAGTAAAAAAAAAAACATTTTTCACACAGAACAGCACTAGCAACTGTAGCTGAGAAGTGCTTATAAACATTTCATGATGTTGCTTACTTATGGTTCAAGAATAGAAAACAATTTAAGCTTGTACACAAGTATGAATTGTTAAAGATGCAATACAATACAGATGCAAGAGGGCCTTTAATGAGGAAGGCAGTAAGTTGTATAGTTATCTCCTATATAGGGTGAAAAATTCTGATCCCCTTCAACAACACAACTTACTACCTCACCACATCACAGGCAGCTGCAGCAGAATACACATTGGTGAGAAATTAAAAAATAAATCAACATCAAGTGTCATAGTATGGTGTTTGTATCTGGAGTCTAAAACAGTACTAACTGAATGAAACATTCCTACAAAACAGTTAAGAATGTTGTTTTATTAGCGCTGTTTTGGTACAGGTCAAAAATTCCCCAGAAGTGGGTGTACTGACAATTAAAGCAAAAAAATATAAGCAACCCTTTGTTCTTTCAGATAGGACCTTTGTCATTCTGAAAGAGATCAGTTTCACAAGATAAATATCTTCCACCATAGAATAAAGGTGGTCCTTCAGAGCAACTTCATAATGACTCAAAGTGACCTCTCTCTCTGAGGGGATTGGTGGATACAAACCATGTCAGCAAAATTCCACCATTACAGAGGCAACAGATCCCTTTTATTAATCAAAAGCTTTTTCCATTTTAAAATGTGCTTTGCATGCATGAAAAAGATTTGTACACAAAATATACTACACTATGTACAATATAAATATAAATAAGTATATATAAGTATAAATATACCAAGTAGAAATATACTATACTATAAGATGCTTTAGAAAACCAGGAAGGCCAACAATTTTGAGTTACATAAGTGTAAAAAATTATTAATACATGATTAACTTCTTTATAAATAAATGAAGAAGTCATGTTGGTATGGCGCTGCTGTAAGAAAGACAGTAGACTGTATAGTTATCTCCCAGATCTGGTGTGATCCTAAAACTATACAAACTACTACCTCATCCCACAGCACGCATTGTAATCTGTGTTTCCCTCTGGGTATCCTTCACAAAGATGTTCAATCCAAACACGTCAAAGATTTTTAACAACATGACAGAAATAAAAATGTTAATACRGCAAATAGTACCTGCAGTATTCTCGGTGCCATTAACTGTTCCCAATCCAGAACCCTAGAAACAAAACACACATTTAACATCAGAAAAATATCTTAGCTAGAACATTTCTCTTTTCCAGTAACCTGTTTTAACTCAGTTACGTTTAGTTTCAATGCACCTTAATGCTTTTTAAACTCTGGTRTGCTTTCCCATGGACCAAAAATGCACCACAGAAACTTCATTTTGTCACTGTAATTCTGTTTAATCAATAATTTTATGCTTTTTTATACTTCAATGTAGCAGATGACAGCATGGTGCAACATTTAATCTTGCCCACATTAAATGAGACAACATAAGTTGGGGCTTCTACAGAATCAGGTGTTTTGCTCCCTCAGCCAACTAGTTTGTATTTTCTTGCATTGTATATTCTTATATTTATTGTAATATCTACCCACCTGAAGGTTTTGTTCTCTGACTTGTTCAGAAGCTCTCCTTTCATTCTGCTTGAATTCCTCCTCCTCAGCCAGCTGCCTCCGTCTCTTTTCTCTGCGCTCTTCCAGTTCTTCATCTCTTAGACTCTCCAGATGCTGCAGGATAGGCACTTTCACCACTGAAGATCAGACACAGGTATCAGATTAATATCTCTGTTTTGGCTGAAGCTCAACAAGATAATCAGTCTGACTGAACTTTACCTCAATTCATTAAACCTGATTAATTAATAAAGATAATATTGTTTCCACAGGTCATCAGTTATTTTACTACAACTGCTTGTCAAATTTTGTAATTACCATGCAGTTTTAGTGTGTTAAATTATCTGACTAGAATTACTAGTCCTGGCTACATTCAAAATGACAGAAATCTTTCGTGGCGACTGAGAACTTTAAGCCTAGCATATTAATCTTTAAAATGTTCAATAAGAAATCACTTGAATGTATTTATAGTTTACAACAAACTAACCTGCTACACAGTCGTGCATACTTTCAGCATCCAGCACCTTACACTCATCAGTCCATCTAGTTAAGGCAGTGGGAATACTGGAGAGAGTGCCTTGAAAGAGAAAGCAAACAGGTCAACAATTCAAAAAATTAATTCCTAAAACAATGACAGAATCTAACTGTAGTGATTACCTGCTTGTCCCCCAGTGCTGCTCTGCTCATGGAAAAAGTCATCTAACAACTCATCGTCAGATCGCGCAATGATGTGCACATCTTCATTTCCAACCAAAAGCCGAGCCCGACCACGGGACTGCAGAGGTAGAGAGCTGGACAGCTGCAAAATGTCTGCAGCAGCACTTGGGCCCAACAATCTAAAAAGGAAAAAAGCAAAGTATTTTTAATAAGAGAATAATAATAATAATAATAATAATAATAATAATAATAATAATAATAATAATAATAATAAAGCTTAAGCTAGTTGTTGCCAAATGCAAGAAGTAACTGACAAAACCCCCAAGCCTTTAGCTTCACCTCTGCAAAATAAGTGGAGGATTGGGCTGGCGGTTGTGAGGGTAGTGGACGTGGATGGTGTGTCCACTGTTTGCAGTGAGCTGACGTAATGTTCGTTGGCTGCGACCCATGCCCTGTGCCAGGCGGCCACTAGTGCCTGCCACACCCAGAGTAAGGGAACCATGGTCAGCATGGCGCACCATCAGAGGGTGGGAGCTGGGGATGTTCCCTGGGGAGGATGGGATGTCAGCTGAAAGGGAGGGTAAAAATACATTAATAATAATTGAAAACAAACAAAAACAAAGTACAGTAAACAGACATTAGTTGAAAGAATAATTACAACACAATGAGATGTTTATGGGGAAAATGTTTTTGTAAATGTAGTTCAAAATAGTTTAAAGACAAAAAATGTTTCTGCTCACTGTTGTTGGAAAACATGTTGTCAAACTCAATAATGAGGTCATCATCCCTGTCAAATCTTTCAAAACGGATATGCGGTGCAGCATTGATGTCAGGAAAATCTTCATCCAATTCCATCTCTGATCCTTCATCGTCATCATCCTCATCTCCTTCTTCATCATCCTGAAGAAAAGGCAGCAGCTATGAGCACAACAGAGAGCACATACTCTCGAATAACTTCGCTGCATTTATCCATACCTGATCCTCCTCCTCTTCTTCCTCTTCCTCCTCTTCATCTTGGCTGTCTTCGTCATCATTGCTGCCACTTGAATCTTCCTCCTGTGTGTGCTCTTCATCTTCTGGTTCGAGAATGTTCATAGAGTCTGATGAAGAATTTACAGTTAGTTCCTGTGTCAATAAAACACGCCAGAGTTAAGTATGAAGTTATTTATTTTAATCATATTTATTAGGAAAAGAGACAGGYCCTGAGGTTTTCACCTGGGGCCTCATGTATCAACGGTGCGTACGCACAAAAACCTTGCGTACGTCATTTTCCACGCAAAACTCCGGATGTATCAAAACTCAACTTAACGTGGAAAACTGCGCAGCCCCACGCCAACTCCAGGGCTGGCGTACACACGTTTCTGTGGGTTTGGCTCCATTGGCGACACTTAAGAGGTGATTTTGAGAAACTGTTCATGATGTGAAAATGGTTATTGTTCATCTGGATTTTTTTGTGCGTACGCCGTTTTCTGGATTTGACCGTACGTCACGTTTCAGTAAGAAATCCACGCAAGTCTATGAACATGAGGCCCCTGGTGTTTTGGCTTTAKACTTGTAGGAAATTTATCTATGCTAGTTTTTATTATAGGTTTATTGGCCAGACATATTACTGTGATATTTTTGCTTCAGGTTATCAAAGAGTCAAAATTTCAAACCAGCCCACGCCTACTCAAAACCAAAGAAGGTGCTACCCAAAGTAAATAAACTCTACATCACATTCTGATGTGTGTGTTATACCTTCACGGTTGGCCTGAAGAGTGGATGCTTGGCTGATATTGGATGGAGCCTCATCCATCAATACATCCTCTTGAGATTCATCCTCACCACTACGTCCCACTAATTGACAGAGAGAACAACATGATGCATGGGCTGTGTGCTGTTTGCAAAACAGTTTTCAGTGCTAAATTATGCACCATTAAAATAACTCCTTATACTGCAATTAAAATGTARTTATTGTACATTAGACTTGTTATTTTACTACTGTAGATTTTTATATACACCTTCACTGTTGTGTAATTTGCTTGTGTTTTACCGATAATTGTGCTGTTCCCATTTCCAGCATCTCTCTCCAACAGCTCATCTATCAGGTCCACCAACTCATTCTCAACCTACATAAAKAGATCATTATGTACAAATTCTGCATCAGCAATTAGGCACCCAACAGAATAAAGAAATGTGTCCAGCCCCTTAAAACTATTAGTGTGAATAATCACTTTATTGTTTTAAATGGAGATGTTAGAGATAAAAATACTGAAGCACGGATATCTTACCTGCATAGCTTGCGTGCTTAAAACCTCCGGCTGACCTGCAATAACTACTGTGTCTCCCTCTGTTTCTCCATCCATGAGGTCACTGTCTGGTCCCTGGACCCTGTGACTGCCGTCTACTGGTTCTGTTTCTCCAGACTCTCCTGGAACAGATACCTCACATCAGCAACAGATGTATGCAGAAGAACATTAGAGGGGTTACAGAGCTTAGTCTTATGTGACTACCTTGGTCCTGTGTGTTGCTGTTGCTGTCCCTGACAGTGCCCACCGTGTCTTGTTCCGTCTTGCTCTTGCTAGAGCCTCCTTTGCCACCAAAAAGACTGCTGGGCTGGTTAACAATGCGTGACAAAGTCTCTAGAGGCTTCAGTGCAGCATTCACTGTGTTGGCCATGTTAGGACTAAAGGGGAAAAAAGTTTAAAATACATTTTTAAAAACCAAAAATAACCGAATTCATAAATAAAACTTATAGGTAAAGGCATAACTAAGACAATATTTGAGGTCTTGATAACCAGTTTTCAGTATTATTAAAAAATGAAGGGTTTCCATAACCTATAAATTTGTATGAAATACAGGATTCTGTTAGGAAATGACTTGAGTAACTCATACTAAATTTTATTAAAATGTAACTTATWTTATTCAGAGTAACATATACCTGGACAAATCAAGACTGTGAGGCACTCGAGCCAAGTCATTGACCAGACCTTTCTTGAGAAAGAGTCTTATGATATTGTTCATGCCATTATGTTGAGTCTTGGCTGCTGCAGTGCTGTAAAAGGTGGATGTGGAGGGGCAAGATTCCATGATAGTGCTGATAATGCACATCACTGCCTGGAGTCTGTGAAATGTCAGAACAAAGAAAAAAAAATATATATATATATGGTTAAAAGATCCACATTTTTAGTATCATTGTCACACTTTGAAATGTGTATTTCAGATTTCTTTACCTGGCATGTTTTTCTGCACCTTCTGCCATTGCTAATGCTCGACTGAGAGCAGCCTTCACTTCATGCACCAGGGCCACCTGGGCATCGGTGCCTGTGCCCGCAGCTGCCAGGCTTGCTAAAAAGAGACGCGCCAAGGCTGGGGTGTCCTTGTCCTCTGAATTCTGTGTGTGTGGCAGTAAGTGGTCGAGCACAAAGGCTAGAACACTGCAATCCTGTTAAGATACAAACAGGTCAAAATATGTTGGGAGGAAATAAGTATGGCAATAAAAACTAGACAATTTGTATCTTAAAAACACAACCCACCTCTTTAATAAGCTCAGACTGTCCTGCAGTGTAGCAATAGGAGGCGATTAATGTGGCAATGCCCACATAGGAGCGCACAAGTTCAGCCAGCAGTCTCAAGATGGTAGAGGTTGGCATTAGAGGCTTGCTTGCCTTGACTCTAGCTGCTTTACTTTCATCTGAGCTCGTACTTTTCTCTCCCTCCTGTTCTTTCTTCTCCTCACGCATTTCTTCTGGTGTGGAGGCTGGAGAAGTTTGCATAACAGGTTATGGCTTCTATTAATAAACAATTTTATGAAATCAAGTAAATCTGGAGAACATTCTTAGCTTACTAATTTTTAGAATAAATTTAAATATAAATGACCTGAACAAAAGAAATGTGCAAGGTCAATAATTTAGGACCATTTTTGCTCATGAACACAGAGTCTACACAGATCAAATGCAGCTGAGGGTTTTTGTACCGTAATGTAATTGTTACAACCAGGTGAACACCACATCTTTCCTAGTGTTCAACAATTACCTTCTCCTTGTGGAGTGCCAGATTGGGAAGACTCTGCCACACCTCCATCAGCAGCGAACACTTGTGCCTGGAAAGAAAATAGGAAGTCCCATATTCAGATAAATTACCAAAGCAATATTTTATTACCTGGGCTGCACAGGACTAACTCAATTTAGACTTACATTAATGTGGAATGCTGACTGTGAGTCAAAGTCGCTCCCCTGTCGGGTGAGCCGGTATTGCTGGTAAACATCATCACCGACATCCTGCAAAATCTGGCACAGGTCTTGACTCCCAGGGGCTGCGGCACGTTCGTCTGAACGCTCAGCTGCAACGCACAAGTGGCAGAAAAGTCTCTCTCAAACTACATATAAAACTCCCCAAACAGCTGCCAGATTTTATAAAAAGGACTTACGTTCTTCAGGGGCATGGTAGGCAGCTAAAGCGTTGAGCATGTCACAGATGACTTCCTTGATAGTGTCAGGAATGGCAGGTAGGGGAGATGGTTTCAAAGGAGTGGTCTTTACTAGCTGCACAGCATTCGGCCCCTTGATTCGAAGGTTTTCAAACTCATCATCAGAAGCTGTTGGATAAAAAGAATGAAGAGGTGTACTATAGAGTTAAAAATCCTAAAATTTCAAATTTTATGCAGTTGTCAACTTAAGATAAAAAAATGCATTTTAAAATCAAGTTTTCTGTAAGTTATTTCACACCAAAACCTGTTTGTACACTTACTTGTTCCAGCTCCACGGGCTGCAGGCAGAGCGATGCGGATACAGTTGCTGGCTGTTTCAATAAAGCATTCAGGGTTACGACAGGCTGCTGGGCCCAGGACACGAAGGATATAATTGATTTCTCTGGAACCAAGGCTGCCTGATACCACTCCTGAGGTGGTGCTACCTGCTCCGCTGGTCACAGCAGACCTCACCACCTTTGGCAAAAAAAAAAAAAAAGCAACGATTGGGTTCATGGCAAGAACAGAATTAGCAAATTCAACTCGGAAAAAATTTAATCTAATTAGAATTTTAACTACAGTATAATTAAGCTTTTAGTATTCACAGAAGCTGTTTGATTCAAATGGAAAGAATGGGAGTTTACCAACCTTCTCCATGGTGTGCCGCAGAGTGGCTGGGTCTTCTATGATGTGTCTGAACAGTAAAGTAACAAGCGGAGTGAAGCCATTGAAGCCAGAGCTTTGCGTCAGCCCCAGAATCATCCTTGTACTCTTCAGCTCAGCAAACATCATTGCATAGTGGTGGTTGCGTGTAAGGCGCAAACAGAGACGCAGTGTGGCATGAAGAGTGTCCGGGTCCACAGGAACACTAATCATACTGACACAAGCCCGAATTAAAACAGTGGTCATGTCATCAGCCAGGCCTTTCACAACAATGTCAGAACTCTGAGAGTAGTCTGACTCCAGAGGTGCTGAGGGGCAAGAGGTGGGTTCTTTCAGRTGGCTGGAATCGTCCTTAGAAGCACTCATCTCTACTGTTGCCCCGGAGTCAAGGTCAGCCTGGTTTTCTTCCACTTTGCCCTTGTCTCCCTCCTCTCTCTCAGAGTCAGTAATGTTACCAGTCTTGGAAGGCTTGGTAACACGAGGCACTTTCTGGACCGTCAACATCACTGGTCTTCTATTCCCAGTTTCTTCATTTACCTAACCAACAGAGTGTTATTTAGTAAAAGAATAAGCCAGTAAACTATAGGACCATTATTTATATTTCATAAACACACACAGTATTTTATTTATATACCTGCACCATAGTGTTAAACTGCACAGTGTATCTCCTTCGTCCAGCTGTGAAGCGGACGCTGCTCTCCCCAGCTCTCCATGCTGAGTCAATGGTACTGTTGTTGGATGCACTGTAACTGCACCAACGACCCGAACGATCGTCAAACCAGCGCCAATTATTTCCATTTGGCTGCAGATACTACAAAAAGCAAAAAAAAAAAAAAAGAGCTTACAACTGTGAAGAAGTGCCAAACCATAGAATCACACATTGTGATGTAATAGGCAGGGTCTAAACAAGACCTCTGACAAACAACAAAATACACAACAAGCCCATGGATTAAATTTTCACAATATTTTACAACTGTTTGCATTTAGCCTATTTCCTATGAAGTTAGAACCCAGAGGGCATTTCCTGCAAATGTAGATATAATTTTTAAGGAATGCACGAGAACTTAACATGTAGACAAAATAATTAAACAAGGTTAAATAAGTCATGTGCTATCTTTAGCAAACATACACAAGTTTGTCTATTTGTTGTCTCAGTTCTTCTCATGGCTCTGCAATTAAAAACAATACTTCTTTGTGTAAGTGTGCTCAAGAAAATATGAGCTTGTACAATAAATTCCACAGACTTATGTACCTTGTTCATTTGTTCCCTTCGCTTTGAAGAGACTGCCATCTTCTCATAAAAGTCAATAAGCAACAGTACTGGTGTAATCCATCTGTAAACCAATTGTTAACGATTAAAAAAAGTCCATAACCATGTGTTGCATCTGTTAAAATGTGGTTCAACATTTTAAGAAAGAAATGAAGGATATTAAAACTCACTTTGGCGTCTGAATGTCTTTGTGTTCTTTAGCTGCTTGGAGACATGGCTGCACAACCTCAAGGAGCTTGATTAGCAAATCAAGAATCCCACTGCTCTCCACCACTCTGGCACCCAATAACTTCAGCTCCTACAAAARAAAAGGATTGCATGGGATGCAAAGACAACCACTGACAAAAATCAAAATGATCCTTGATGAATTAACATTTTARGGTTAAAACCTTTAATTCTGGCACCTCAAAGAGCAACGTGAGCAGCAGAATTCGGGTTGCCAGCTTCGAGGCCTGAGGCAGTGTTGCCATCTGTCTGGTCCACTCAGACACAGTCTTTGTGTCACTGGTAGTCAGAGGCTCTGCAGCCTTTATCAAAACATCTGCAGCCTCCCACACCTACACACAAAAAAGCACACAAACAGGTTGTTACAAATAGTCTATTTTCATTAAAACATTTAACGTCTGATTCAAAGACACTAAGATGTTCAACAATTTTAGAGGGGTAGGGAGAGATACATTATGTTCTTACTGAGTATCATTTTAAATTATTCTTATTTGACTTCGAATCTACATGTGAAAACTTAATTTAATATTCAGGTTTTCATAAATGTGTGTTCTATCCTGTTTAAAACATCAGATCACAAGAGATCTAATCTACTTACAAAATAAAAACATTAAACAGAAATTAACTCAAATCTCTTCCATGGTCCTTGAAATCACTAAAACTTTACTAAAAAGCTTTTTGCCATTTTAAGATGCTTTTATCCACAGACCTGGTGGACAACTTGGCCAAGGATGAGGTCTCTATACTCTGGGCCACTCCTCTTGATGGCAGTCATTAGTAGGTCACATAGTCGGTAAACCGTGTCAGGCAGCTCATCTAAAAGATGAAAACAGCCAGGCAGCATGGAGTCAGTGAATGTATGTAGCTCCTGAGGGTCCAGAGGCTCTGCTTCCATGAAGCGCTCCAAGCAGCGTGCTTCTTCCTCTTCTGCCCGCTCCCTGGCTCTCCTGTCCTCCTCCTCACGCCGGCGTGCTGCTTCCTAAAGCAGACACAAAAATTGCCTCAACAGCTGGTCATGATTGGCAAATAATTCATTCTGTAAATTTTATGTCCCAAAAGGTTAACAAAGTGGTTTTTTATCATTCATTAAAATAAAAAGAAAATCTATACACAATAAAAACAAAACAAATCATAAATGAAATGAAAGAAAGCTGAAAGAATAAAAAAATTATTATATCTTCCCCCTCTTTTCCCCCAAAATTAAATTCTAACAAAACAATATCAGGTCTTTCCCACTTTTCCCAAACAATTCATGTCACACATGTATTTTATTGACCCTGTGCACCCACGTGACAAAGTCATGATAGCGGCATGTCGGATGGCAGAAGGCACGGAGRGYTGTATTGAAGTGAATGACAGCCATTGTTTTTTGAAGTTTTTTTTTGTCATGGTTTCTACTTGTTCAAGTTTAGATAATTTATCTGTGGAAGTCGCACACCTAGTTGGGGCTCACAGACAGTGTTATTTACAGAAGTTGGACATAGCTAGATAGAAATCGACCCAAATCTTCTCCCTCCGGACGTCGTGTTTGTTGATTTGATCAAAACGCAAACTTTGCCTGAATTCACGCCACATGACTTATACCACTATGTCATAAATGGTGTTTCCCCCTACACTGGAGCTGACTTAAAAGCATATAAAAGCCTGGATGCTTATCAGTTGTTTTTTTTTTTTTTGCTGGTTGGGTTGACCGGGACAAGACAGGGTTACATGGAGGGACAAGATATCTCATAATGGTGAAGTAAGACTTGCTTGTTAATGCTAATGTATTTTTATTTGCCGATTCCATACGTGATTCTAGATGTTTTTCGGGTTACTGAGCGTCTTGAAGCGGAGAGCCGGCAACGGCTAGCAGGCTAGCAAGCTAACAAGCTAGTAGCTTCTCTTCATGTTAAACAGCTCCGGGTTACAACAGCGCTCCGAGCTGCGCTTCTGTCTGTTCGATATTTAGCTGAAATGATCCATTCCCAGTTAAATTAAAAAGATGAAGAGCTTTGATGATCAGCTGGTCTGATTTTATGACCACCTAAACGTGCAACTGGTGTTTACTCCATCAACGTGGAAGAAAAAAAAAAGCTTCTCCACCGACCTTTCACTCAACAACAATGATTCAACACTGAGTAAAAACAACTATATTTCCAGCTATCACTGTTGTTTATCTCTTCACTATGACACGGAGTGCTGCGGGTGGGCAGACAGAGAGATTATAATATTTTAGAACCAGCAGCGCAGCGGTCCGAAACCGGAGAGACACTCCAGTCCGGTTAACCAGAGGGTCTCCAGATCCGGCCGACTGCGCCGCAGCTTAAGACTACGATAAAAGGACAAGTTTGGTTTGTTTACTTGTCTGTTTGTGCAGCTGACTGCGCAGCAGCTGAAGACCATTTTTACAGCTAAATCAACTGGGGGAAAGAACGATGTTAGGCTACCAACTGCCCGATTCTCCTCTAGCTCAATAGTAGCTTATGGATGCATGTCTATTTCTGCCATCCAACATGGAAAAAAGGGGCGGTCTTCTGAGGCGCGTGATGTCACGTGCAAAAGGGTCAATATCACATTTCTTCAACTAGACTTAACCATTCTCTTAAATGTACATTTTTTCCAAGCAGTTTTGACATAAATCTCATTATTCCAGTCATATTCCTTTAATTTAACTACTTTTTTCCTGTGAAATCAAGGTTTTACAAAAATCTTAAATCCTCTTGAGGTTACAGCAACTCTTTCTCTAAAGATTTGATTGGTTGTTTAAAGACAATATATTTTATGAGCCTTATATAAAACCTGTAAGTTTTATATGCAATAGGAGCAGAAAAAATAAAAGACAAACCTCAGGAGAATCAGAGCGCTGCTCCATGCTAACCTCTTGCCCAAGTGACATGGCGATGGCCCTCATCATCTGGTCTTCCTCAGACATGGTCAGGTCCTTGTTATAATAAGAGCAACATCAGTTGTCCGTTTTTGACACAAACACAAATTTTGTGTGCTTTTACACACAATGCCTTACCCTTACTGCTCCTCCAAGCAGGGGAGGAGGGTGTGTAAGCAGGTACTCTGTGGCCTGCTCCATAGTGCTGGTGTTGAGCAAAGCTTCCATGGCATGTTCTCTTGAGAAACCCATATCCATCAGCTAAAAACCCAAAAGAGTTCAATTGTAAGTCATAAACAAGGGGAAAAAAGTGAAAGAAAGGGGCATGAAACTTAAATGTCACAAAAAGTGGGGAACAGTGAAAGACAGCTGCAATTATTATTATTATATAAAGAGGTAACACTTGTTTCCTGAGAGGGCCTTTATAGATATTCTCCCTATTCTAAAGATTTGATTGGACTCTTCATGACACAATGTCTCTGAATGGGGATTAAAAAAAGGTACAAAAACCACAATCCATCCTATAATCTGGTCTAAAGTCTTCTGTCACTGTCATTTCAAAGGGTCCTCTAGCTTAATTCCATTCATCAATTCTTGTCTCTTTCATATCTTAATTTTTCCTCTGGCTCTGATGACTCTTATACCTGCTGAAGCTGCTGCTGGCGGACCTGAGCGTGTCCCTCTCTCCCTCTGCATCTTTCCTGTCATAAAACAAATGGTGGCCCAGGATTCAGTGCATGCAGAATATAAGGGAGGGAGACTGGTAAACACAGCATCGGTTTTATTTAACTGCAGACAAGGCCACCGAGAGAAGTGATTAAGTGGTTGTATGATGATTATGTGGTTAACCCGTGTTGCTATATCTGCCTGTAGCAGTAACAGAAAATAKTGGCCACAAAAATGAGTTTTCTGAACTTCTGATAAAAGAAAAAACACTCAGTCGTTCCTGGACTACTAAACCCAAGATGAAAGATGGTCTGCGTCATCACAGACCAGGTGCAGAAATAAATGACTTGTATGAAAACTGAAATCGGCAGAGGAACCAGGTCCAAAGTGAGTACCTGAGTGAGCTGAGCCTGGTTAACCTGGGGCTCATGGCGAGGAGTAGAATTAGTAGAATCTTCAGCTGATCCTCCAGTTGGAGCTGCAGTGGTTCCACTACCTGCTGGTGCCTCTGCAGTTGTTGAGGAACCTCCTGGGGCTGCGGTCGGTACCAAAGAACTAGTGGAGGTCCCTTCATCTTCTGGGCGTGTTGTTCCCTCTCGTTCCTTGGCCAGACGCTCCTGGATAACAGGCTCTCCTCTCAGTATGTGGCAGAGGATGGCCAACATGGATTCAGCCATCCTACCACCATACACCTTCAGTGGCTTTCTATTCCATAGACTACGGATGCAGCTGAAAGCAGCCTTAACAGAAGAAAAACAGAAAAAGGAAAAAAATTTTTTAAAAAGCCAAGACAGAAATGTGAAATTTCAGAAATATGAAATTTCAAAGATTATGACAGGAACAGGATAAATGGTCTAACTGCTTCCTTTGCAAAAACTGACCTTCTGGGTGACAATGAGAAACCGAAGAGCACTGAACTGGGGCATGGTGGGTGTGATCCCTGGCATTTTAGCAGGCAGAGAGTGGGGAGAGTCCAGTACAGTGCTTGGATTAACCATCTTCTCCACCAGCATTAACCAGGCATCCAGGAATTCTCCAGTTCCATCGGGGAGATCGGTATGCTCCAGACCCTCAGACACAGGTATTTTTCCACCCATTGACAAGGCCCAGTTAAATGTTCTGAAATAATTTTAAAAGTGCAAATAAGTTAATTTTGGTATAGAAAACAACCAGGAAAAGGTAACAATGGCAATTTTGAAGTAAACTATATATGGGGAGCAGAATAAATATTTCCTTAAATAATATGCAATTTTTATAAAAACATCATTAACTTTTACACCATAAATATATAAAAATAAAAAGTACAGTTCAAGCCACAGTATGTAATCTTGACAGCTGTGAGTTTAAAAATGAACATTTAAGAAAACTGGTTGACTAAATGAACCTTTATAGACCAGTGTTATCTAATGTAGAACTTTGTTTTTATTATACAGACCATCAAGATAAAATGCTCTTTCTGATCTTAATATTATAATGTATGGTAAAGCTTACTCAAATAATGCATCATGTCCCCCAGAGCAAAAAAACTTCTGCAGCATGAGGTGGTAGGGATATTTTCTCTCATCAAACAGCATGGGAGATGTGAAGCCCACTGAGCAGATAAAGAAGGTCAGCCTGAAACAAACAAAGCTTTTAAATCACTCTCCATATAAACACCATTATCATACTGGCAGTAGTAGCAGTAGCCTCCTCTTACCTGAACCGTGGTGTAGGTGTGTATGGTGGGGGCTGCCAACTTAAACCTTTGGTAAGAAGCTTGGTAAGGGCAGAGGCAGTTGCTCGTGCAGCAGGCGTAGGGGTGGTGCCTGTGCTTGTGGCGTGGTGGGAGCGGCGCTGGCGCACTGGGGAGCCTACACACAACTTGACTAACAGGCCAAAGAGCTCAGCCAAAGCCCTACCTAACCTAGATGAAGCTGCGAACAAACAAGTACAGTTAAACTCAAACGGGAAAAAAAAAAAGAGTTGCATTTATAAATATCCCAAAAAATAGGTACGTTTTTGCCCTAAACCATTTCTCACCAGAAAGGAGGGGTTTAATTTGCTTGATGCGAGTGGCCATGGCTGGGGTAAGTTTGGACTTTGCCTTAGGGTCTGATGTAGAGGGTTCATCAGTCTCCATAGGAGCCAAGGTGTCCCCATCCAGACACATGCCTTCCAACAGACCACCAGCAGATGAATCCACAGACACAGTGTCGGTTTCTGCTAAAGTTTAGTTTAAAAAAAGAGAAAGTTTGATAAAGGGTATTTCAAGAACACAATAGTAGCAAATATACAAATTAAATGCTTTTATTATTTATTACCATTTCTTCTAGATCCAGAGCCTGTCGCTGCTGCAGTGCTGCCAGATGGTTTCTCGTCTTTGGGCACCAGTTTCTGCATGTCAGCCTGGCCAAACTCACATCCAGGAGGCAGACTGATGGGTACAAGTGAAAGATATTGAGATGTACAATTTATTGTAAAGAGAAAACAAAGAARATTAAAAACAAGACACTAACCTGTTGGGAGTACAAAGGGACAGCAAAACAGTGCTCTCCCACACCAAAGAGCAGTAGAGCTGACTGAGCTTGTTCAGAACACTCAACCCTAACTGGGAACCCCACTGGTTTACTGAGATAGCTCTGATCTCACTCTGTTGGAAAAAGAAACAGAACACTTAGAACATCTGGAACTATTCAGTAGAACTCTAAAGTTAGGAAAAAACAATGACTATTAGCTTCACAGAACATAAAGTGCTTTGTCAATACTCTGTACCAGATGGCTTACCTGTCCAACTCTGCAAGTATGAACAAACATGAGGATGTAGGCGTGGGCTGCTGTTAAAGCATGTAGGAGAGGCGTAGCTCGAGCTGACAAGGTAGCATCGGTGACATGGCCAGCATTAGCCAGTTCTCTGAGAAGCACCGACCCACCAGGAATCTCAATAGGTCTGTGAAGTGGTTCCAGAGACGTCAGAATACTGTCCAATTGGCACAGGCCTTCCTGCAGTACTTTAGGTTCGTGAGAGAGTGTCTGCAAAGCAAAAATTAGAGGAAAAGATATTTTATCTTTCTCCAGGAATTGTGAATTACAGTGAATTATTTAGGCATAACACAAAATGCTAATGAATGAAAAACTGCAATGGTTTCCCCACCAATATGGACTTGCAGACACCAGCCACAGCTTGGCAGGCTGCTGAGGTGGGAAAATCTATGGGCAAGTTGGGCAAGCCCAGAATAGAAACCAAAGGCAGCAGCCCCTTCTGGTTGACAAACTCCTGACAATGATCATCGGTGGTGTTGTTGCTTAGTATGGATTCCACAAACTTCATCTGGAATACATGTGCACAAAAAATTAAAAACTGAATAAACAAAAAAACTTATTATTGCAGTATAAAGTAGAATATTACACAATGTAATTTGCAATAGTTAAACTAACGTAAAAAGGTAATTTTTTTGTTGTACTGTTACACATTCTACAATTTTTTCATTGTGTTGGCATTTGATGGCAGAGCTCACTTCAAACAGCCGCTGTATAATTTGAAGTTATTCTGCCTTTTAGTCACTTTTATACAATTACACCTAACAGCTTCTCTACACTTGCATTTTAACTGTAGTTATTCATTTAAAATGTTTAATGTAAAAAAAAAAGAAAAGAAAATATCTGGTTGTTAACTACAGCCAAATAACTAATGAACTCATTTCACATGCTAACAATGCTAACGTTACTGATGAATTAACACTCACCACATTCAGAATATAATCCATAAGAGGAATTGGTATTCGTTCCTCTGTGCCTACCACCCTGCAAAGATTGAAAAAAATAACCCTCCATCATTAAAATGTCAACTACCCAAAAGAATATTCAAAATGCAGTCAAATAACTTGGTCTATAAAGCATTTTTCTGTTCTGTTGTGTTATGAACTCAGTCATACAGTTCAAGTGGAACTGACTGCCTGTTGCTCTCTGGTTCCCCCTGCTGCTGGCTGAATGTGTGGAGGGCCTCTTCTTCCTCTTCATCTTCACTTGACGCTTCTTCAGCAGCATGACTGGATCGAGCTGGTGTCACTGCTACAGTGCCATCTGCTTTCTGGATAGATGGTTTCTGACAGATGTACTCTGGAGCTCGACCTAAGTTGCAGATCTCTTCCAGTAYCTGAAAAGGTAATTCAACTTTAATGAGAGTATTCAGATACACTTAAATGTATGAAGGCAAAAAAAACCTGACCTACCTTAATAATGGCTGTTGTAGCGTCCGTCTTCAGAGTGGGTTGGTGTCTCATGAGCTCATCCACAGCACTGCCCAAATTAGATGCTGTGTCACCTAAAGAAAAAAAAAATGTTACATGTCATCTTTATAAATATCTTCTACAAGAGAACGAGTAAAATAGCACAAACAACTCACCCAATGGGTCAGAGCTGCGTCGTCGTCGCATGGCAGGCAGGTAGTCCGGGGACAAAAGCACTTTGAAGAGGCGCTCAAAAGGCTGGCACTGAACAAAAGAGTGCAGACCTCTGGCATTCAGGCAGAGAGCACTGAACACATTAGGTAGAGAACCCAGCACCTCACGAGTTGCAGGGACCTGAAAATGTGATGGAAAAGTTCATTCTCAACCTGTGCTTTTTAGCCAAACCTAGACTGCACTTGATCGAGTTTATTACTACAGTTGGATGATATGGCCAAAATTTATATAACAATATAACTCATAATTTCAGTTGATACAGTGTAAATTTGATGTTGAATAAAAAAATTATAAAAATAAAATAAAAAACAAAAATGTCAGAAAAACTTCCAAGAACACAAATATTTACTGTACCTACAAACGATGTCATTTAAAGACATCTTTAATTGAAAAACAAAAAAATATATATGTCAAATTTACTGTATGACTAGTTAAAAATTAATAGTTGATTTCTGAAATATATGTTTCAGAAAGTAATTTATTGCAGATATTTTGAAATGGAGCCTCCATACAACTGAATGGTAAATCTGACATTTATATTTGTCAGAATGTAATTACAAATATTATACATATTTACATAAATATAAATAGGTGTTTTGCCTAGTTAAAATATAATCAGACATTTTAACTAATATGTCTAGTCATAAACCAATTTCAGATCAAAATGGCCTGCCACGCCCACTCAACTGTGTTTGTTGCATTGGTTTCACTTTGCTTGACACAGCTGCTGACAGAGATGGTGATGTTTTAGGAAGAGGACTTAAACTTTTATGGTGCTTCATTTTCATACACTCAGAATGTTCTATCAAGTGGAATATTATCAGATGGCGATGTGATGTGATCCTGCTGTGAGTCAGCACCACCCTCCAGCACATTTTACAGCGGACTGAAAGCTGAAGTTTGTCAGACCTTTGATACCCGAATCACTTCTACACCAATGAATTATAGTAGTTTTTCTTTTCTTATATCTCCTGCATTTTTTTCGACTGTAGATGCTTTTCCACTCACAGCTGTTGAGCTCATTTTGGCGCRGATATCCTCTGTGTTGTAGGTAGTATTGTTAGCGAAGTGTAAACAGAGTGGGAGCACTGGCATTGAGCCTGTGGTGTCACGCAATGACGCACTGATGTAACGTATATTGATCTAATTTTATTTATTCATATTGTTATTGAAACCTTTACTACTGCAAGATACTGTTTATTGATATTGAATTATTGTCCAGCACTATTTACCCAGGATCACTACAGTAAGTTTATTTTGTTTGATATGAGACAGACGCTGTCACAGAAATACGTGGCCCACTTCAGCTGAGCTGAGATCTGCTCCACGCCTCTTTTGGTTCTGCGCTGCTGGGCTCATTTCTGAACACGTACGTGTGAGCGGGACCTGGCCGGCTTCTCCTGCGATTTATGAATGAACCGAGGGCGCTTAAAGCTGGACCTTTGCTGCGATTTAGCGTAACGGTCTTATGAAAGAGGCTAATATGTGAAGTGGGGAAAAATTAGATCAACACTATAATATACTGACATGTTGACAACTTGAAGACAATTTTAAAATTGTCAATAGAAAGAAAGACAATGAAAACAGTTGTCAGAAACTTACATCTTTGATAAGAAGGGCATGCAGCATGACATCAGTGAGCCCATTGTCCTGCAGGGAAGACAGCAAGGATGGCTCCTGGAATACAAAGACTGTCACCACCTCCGTTGCTAAGAACACAAAGAAAGGAAGAAAAAAAAACAACATAATTCAGAATAATAAAATAATCGTTCAATATCAACAATCAGTATGCCAATGAGCCCCGTTATTGAGAGATTTAAATTGTGAATGTTTGTGGTATTTTGAGATGAGTGCTTTTCTGAACTGGAAACAAAAGTCAACCTTGATGTTTTTGGTACAAGATATTCAGGTGGGTAAAAGTTACAGTGTATAAGCATTTCAATGCAACTCAGTATGATAGATATGCATATCTAAACCCTTAAGGTTTTTCCGTAAAAGGCTATCATGTACTCACCCAAGAGGAACAGTGAAGGTCCATAATATTCTGCATTACTGATGATGTGCTTAAGTGAGGTAGGCAAGGACCCATCCATTACTGAGGGGAAAAAATGGTTGTGTAAAATACACATTAACAGCAGACATTTGTTAGTACATTTGTGTACTAACATGCACAAATTTATATTTTTTTCCTCAATGAAAATGTTCAATGCAAATAAACCAGTGTACTATCTTGCAACTGTGCACTYAGTGAGAATGCAGACTTACCATGACGAATGCCATCTGAAAAGGCTGGATCCTGGATGGCTTTCTTCAGGAAATTTAGCATCGACTTCAACAGAGCTGCCCTCTGGGGGATACACTGCATACCTACAGATATTTTCAAAGTGAAAACTGCAGAGTTTTGAAAAGCATATTTTTATTTCATATAATATCCTCTTATGTTTACCTGGTCGAGGAGTATTTGCAGAACTGTTCTGTGCTCGTTGGTCTACCTCTGGTCTGGAACCAGAAGAAGTTGATGGTCCAGGGCTGCTTTCCATGGAAACTTCTGACACTGAAAATTTATTATGCCCACAAATCAATACAACATTACTAGTCTTTGTAATGTGACAATACACACTGATATTCAGGACCTTTTACTCTCAAAACAGTTTACATTTTTAATATGTATTCAAAAGTATTTCAAATAATTTTTGTGAGATTTTGGTATCTGTTAAAACATTTAAAATCTCATTTAAAACAGATTATCAGATTCATTTAAGGATTCATTTTTCCACAATGTTCTAGCTGATATGGATTTTGTCACATGGACTGCCACAGAAAACCACAAAACTTACTGTATGTGCTGCATTTTCATGAAGCAACTCTTACAACTACTGCTTTAAAAATGTGTCATTATTATGTTAAAAATGTTTATAAAACAACAAAAAATACTGGTTTAAAGTGGTGATTGGTTTTTAAAGCCCTTATATACCCTAAAAAAATTGAATAAAAATTCCCAACAAATTACTTTAACAGCTAAAGCTTGAACTATTTACAAAAGGCATGTAGGTCCCATTGATTCAGGCTGTTGATACTAAAATTCTGACTAATCCATTTGGAAGTCTGAGCAAAAACAAACAAGCCCTTGAGAGTGGGTGGAAATTATAGTTTGTTTATTTTATGAAAGTACAAGTATGTTACCAGACAAAAACTAAAACATTTCCCATTTTAAACTTACTCTCCATATCTGTGTCCATGTCCTCAGACTCCACAGTTGAGCTAGGCCTCTGAATCTTTGGCTTGATGACAAAGGGGCACTCTTTTCGTGACAAGTCCACCTCATGCTAAGCAAAAACAGTAATTGAGTAACACAAAAGCTTAAGTAACTCCAACACTCAGTATATGGAACAGGAATAAAATTATTGTATATGCCAAACTCACTTCCAGCCTGCAGATGAAAATTGAAAGGCCGCTGTGGGACTGGAAGGCAGCCATGTCAAGATTTGTAATAAGGTCCACAACGCGTACTGCTCGTGTCACAAATGTGATCTGGTCCTGCTCATCACCTAAGAACTTGATCACCTACATAACAAAATAAAAAAGTGCTCAAACCAAGATTTCAGATTTGTGATTACATCTCGTCAGAAATCTGGCTATACCTTCAGAAGGGCTTCCATCATGCCACAGGAGACAAGGGCTTCTCCTCCAGCATCATAGCTAGCCAGGTGGTACAGGAATGAAAAGAGTGCTGTGGCAAACTGGTGTGGATAGGGCTCCATCAACGGATCTAGGAAAAAAAATACATAGGTTTTAATTTTATTTGTCCCATTTACAAATTYCAAAGATTTGACAAACCAAATTTAACACAATCTCACCAATCATTGCTTGTATACAGTTGCGCACCAATACAGGCAAGAAGCCATGATAGGACGCTGTGCCAGTGCAGTCAATAATGTTGGAAAGCTTGGGTGTCCTTTCCAGATGAACTATTGAAGTTAAAGTGCGCAAAGATGCTGCCTTGATATCCTGAAAAGCAAAATAAAAAATACATAAGTGAACTACAAAAAATAATTACAAATACCATAAGACATTTTGACAAAACTTTGCAGACTCTAAAGAACAAGTATGATTACATTAACAATTTTTCCCATTTTATAAATACAATGCCAGTGCTGAGGACACATGCATTTAGAGATGGTGACTAGGCAGAAAAAGGAAAACACTTTCTTACCACAAGCTGTTTGTCTGTAATCTGTAAGACATCTACCAGCTCTTCTATCAAGCCATTATACAGAATACTGTTGGCTGATTCTTGCAGTGCATTTGAGTACACTGAAATTTAAAAGAGAAAGTCAGAAGCTGAAATTGGGAAAAAAACATTTACATTTTCTATAAAACGTAGAGCTTCTACTGACCCAATATAGAGATTGCATGCAGTCGGGCCTGCACGGCTTGCAATCTTTTCTTGTGATTTGAGAACCCATGGGCCAGCCGAATATGCGTGAACAGTAGGGTTTGTTTGTCCTTAGGGATACTGTACATCGCTGTCAGTGACTCCATGATTTCTGATGGGCTTTCTGAAATCTATAGTCACAGTAATATGTAAGTACAAAAATCCAGTGTTATCAGTATTTGGTTATAAATTACATTTATTTGTAACATTGTACCTTGTCAAGCTGCTCGATGTGAATATAGTGTAGTGTGTTACTACTTGTCTGCTGGGTATATAAAAGTTGAGAACAAATCAGGAAGAAACTCAAGTAGTCAAAAAGCATTACAAAATGTGTGCTTTGTATAAGCATATGACTTTTTAAAAGTTCTGTCTTTTACCTTCCTCTCAACTTTGACCTCTGGGCCTGGTTCAGCATAAAACTCAAAGTGCAGTGTGGTGGCACTGGGAGGATACTTCTGCTCATAAACAAACAACAGGAAAGACAGAAGAGTTCATTCATAAATAGGTGTAAATTCTTTAACAATAATTTGAAACGCTGTTCTAATGTATTATTTGAGAAAATTTAAATATGTACTGTCATAGGCAGATCCCTGCAGCATTCAGCCAGACCAAAGCCATTTTCCTTCCCTCCCCAGCTCTGCAGAAAAGAACAAGACCAAACAATGCAACACCTTCTCAGGAGGAACAGTTGGAATGATGACAAGAAAATGGAAGCATTGATTGAACCTCAGCCAGGTGTTGTAGACGTGCCAGAAGAGGTGTCCTTTTATCTGATCCAAGTCTTGTGATATAGTTGGAGCGTTTACTGAACACGTAGAGTAGATTCAGCACAGAGAGGACCACTTGCATGTCACATGATGCTAACAAGGTGGTTAAGTGCTGTAAAACGAGTGGGAGTGAAAAATAATAGACATCTGTGAGTTTTTTTCCCTCTGACACTCAAAGCCAACTTGAGAAAAAAATACAAGAATGATTCAGTGTGTATTTGCTCACCTCTATAGAGCTGTAGAGATGCCTAGAAAAGCTATACTCTATGAGCAGAGCTGTGAAGTTGAGCACGGCCAAAAGCAAGGCTTTGAGCTGTCCATTGTCTGGACGGTCACACACTAGCAGCCATGACATATTCTCCACTGTCTGGCCTGCATCACACAGAATGCCATCAAAGCGATCCAGCAGATCCACCCAATGGTAAAGCTCACACTGTTGATGAGGGGAAGAAAGAGAGAGAGAGAGATAGAGCCATCTAACAAAGGTAAAATATTTCAAACCCTTCCACTTTTCTTTAAAAAAAAAAAAAAARACTAAATATAATTTAATAAAAAATCTGTCCAAAGCACAGAAGAGATTTTTACAAATAAAAAAGCTTTTTTCACACAATCTCATGCAGGGTGGGATATCTTGAATGTAGTATGTATGTCTGCAGAGGTGGGATAATGAGTCAAAGTTGATGCATCACTGTTATATTTCTGAGCCAGTAACAAAGATATTCACAGGCCTGAGACAGCCTGCCTGTCACCAAGAGCTTGTATAGTAGAACACTGATGGTGTTGTTACTCAGCTGATTTTTGAGATGCTAGCTTGCTGTTTATAGTAAAAATAAAATACAAAGCCACTTCTTTTTGGTCCATGTGATTTATCTAACAAGATCTATAGTAATTCAATTAACTTTGAAAGTAATCCAATATCAGTACAATTAGCTTCAGCTGTTACAGAGATTAAATCTTAAATTCATAACTCATACAAATAAAATGGTTTAAAGGCTCTTTGTTAAATGGCTTATTAGCAATGTTTGCATACTTCAATTATCAATGATTAGTACCAAAAGTCTGACTTTGTATACTGAAAGCTGAAAATTTGTGTAAACACTGATGTAGGACATAATACTAGAACCCACAGAAAACAAACATTAGATATTTAGATTTACACTGTAGCAGTGCACAAAAATTCATTTTCACAACAGAATCAATATTGCTTTCTTACTCACTGCACCCACTGTAAAGCTATTCTTGTCAGGTGCACGTTTTATTTTCTCTAGTAAATAAGCAGCATAAAATTCAAAGTGCTCAAAATGCAAATGATTACTAATTTACAAAGCAATACAGACATCAATTTAAAAAGGCTCTATCCTTACATTGCTCCACAACTCTTTTCTCACAATTAACACGCCACAGCATTGCGGACAAAAATAAAAACAAAACAAAAATGCCAAATATAAAATAAGTAAGACAACAAAATTAATTTGTGTTGTCTGGGATGATTATTAAGAGCATGTGTGTCTGAAAATAAAAGAACTAAAATTATGCCTTTCCATTAACTTTATCTTGGGGAGTTACCTTGCCAATGTTCCAGGTCTTGATGTGCTGCAGTTCAACCAGTAGTTGTTCATCATTGCACGCCTTGAGCTTTTCTATAAGTATCCTGCAGTCTGCTGGCTGTTAGTACAGAAGGGGCACAAAATGGTTTGTCTACATTCAGACATTTTCTACACCTTTGCTCGAATGTAGTATTAAAGACTGTTGCCTCAAAATTTATTGTAAAAGAAAGATTAAAATRGAGTCCAAGTCATTTTAATCATCATCATCATCTAGTGAGATGTGTTAAATGTTTGTCACAAATTTGATTATCTTAAAAAACGTCAGCCATGGCAAAAACAATTAAGACACTACTGATACTATACCACAATGTAAAATAATGCAACATATAATGCAATACTCACAGCTTCTGTAGGCGTTTTCTTTAACTTGCTTCTGTCAACCTTCATTGTAGATAATCTCTATCTGCTGTTCCTTTTTAGAAATATGTATGTCAAAAAAACAAATCATGATGCAATATGTTWATGAAATTTAATACTACTACTTAGGATTTAGTTTTCAAGAACATGAACCAAATACTGAAACTTAATCTAAATATTGTGAAACAAATTATCATTGAAATAAAAAACACCAAGTCAAATACTTACAGAAAATAGGCAATACCCACTTCACAGCATGTTCCAGTCACATTACCTACAAAACAGCAGAGTACATCACATCATGATGTGAAACTCGTCTCACAAAATAATAAAATAATAATAATAATAAACCTTAAAAATTGTTTTGACCTAGTTGCGATGTGTACTGTAGTGTTACAACAAAATTCAGTAATTTATCAATTTCAATATGTTAGAAGTGATTGTTAAAACGAGTTGAAGATCAGCATATTTACTAAACATCTGTTAGTGATTGAATAACGGGTCAAAAACTTCAATCCAAGCAGAAATTATAACTTAAAATAAACTAATTCGGTATGTTCTGCTATTCACAAAGCAAAGTGAGGCAGAGAATTKGCCAGGTCAGGAGCTAGTGAGCTTCATCATGCGACACAAAGATAATCAAATTAACTCGGGCCCTATTTGATACTTAAAACTTAAGTCTACTGTATTGAAGACCGAGTCAAGAGTTTACATAAAATCTATTTGTCAGTCATAAACTCCRTGACTTGACGTTGATTAAAGTTATAGCTAACTTGCTAACAAGCTAACCTCACAGTAGCACGTTATTTACCTAACACTAACTAGACCTCACTAAAATGTTTAACCAAATCTACGATTATCAAAACCTATACCAATCTGATTTAAAGACCACCATCATAATACTGGATTAGAAACATCGGTAATCTAAACGTACCTAAGAAAGTGGACCATTACGTTATCCCGACGAGAGCTAGCACCGAGCTACCGGTGCTATCAAACGATCTCCCCTGGAGAAAAACATCTAGCGTGCCTTATTCAAGTCAAACAAGCTATATAATATTAAAAACCACCATGTGAAATCCATCCGACTTAAAATAGAATAGGTTTTACGAATTTGTGCCATAGCTGTCAAACCAGACCTCACAGATTCGCCATCCTCTCTAATCGGATTCTTTACTACTAGAGGTCGGGGTTCCGCAGGCCGCATAAGAACCCACGCTAACCGTTCTTGCGCCGTATTTTACTCTAACAACAACCAAAACTGTAAACAGCACTTTGAGAGCAGCAACAGTGATGTGTGTGCGTGAAAAATACCTGGAATAGATGAGCGTTACTTTGTTCAGGTTCGTTTTATTCCGATTTTAAAGCCACAGAGTCGGCGCACGCGCTAGCTACCGATGGTTGAGCAGCGAGCCGAAACGCAAAATTAGTCGCTGAATCATTGTCGGACTGGTCTAACGTGACACTGCGAGTTTTGTTTGTATATTTTTTGATCGAGCAAACTAAARCCCGGCTACTAAGTCAAAGAAGAATCGTGCTCATCAGCTCGGGTTATCACTGTATCCGCGCCCGTTTCCATAGTTAATAGCCAGTTGCTGTTGGCAGAGTCATGACTGTAGGTAGTGTGCAAAAAGTGAATAACGGAACGCTGCTGTGAATGTGGATCACTGCTGTTTGCCTTAACTCGTAATAATAATAATAATAATAATAATAATAATAATAATAATAATAATAATAATAATAATAATGCAGGAAACCCCTTTAGGATGCTTCTCCTCAACATGAAATTCAGAGCAAACGACTGAAAACAATAAACTAAAAATAAAATAAATTTAAAAAGATAACGCAATCAACACTGCAGCAGACATTCATTTCCATACCAGCGAATTACTATGAACAGCATATGACTCTGTAAAGACTAAAATTGTTGAAATTTTACTTGTGATGATTATGATTTTATATAGGCTATGTTATGCCAGTCAGACTGCAACTGAATTATTCAGTAGGATGCAATACCTTATTTCAAAACAGACACATGGCAACATTTTTTTCATATATCATTTAAAGTATTTATAAAACTGTATTGTAACTTCACATGTAATGGTTGTATCCTCAGATCTTATGAAAAGTTACATTTGAAGTACGTTAAAATATTTTAACATTACTACAGAAACTAAATTGCCAAATAAACAGTGATACAGCTGCCAAAATTATAGTCAAAGAATATAATCACGTAATTTTTAAGCAGGGTTCGACAAGATTTTTTTTCTTTAGTAAACCCTACCCTGAAGTAAAAGGGTGCAGAGTGAAGAAAAAACTCTATCATGTGTCCCTTATTCTCAAAAATCAACTTCAACAAATAAACAAGCTCAAGCTGCAAAGATCTCCAAGTTTAAAAAAGAAGTAAATAAAACAAAACAAAATAATAAAAGAAAACATTTTATTATTTTATCCTAAATAACTAATATGTCTAATCTAGTCACATTATTAAAATACGTAAGAGCACAGTCTTGCAGTCTTTATTTCTTTTGTAAAGACTMCTGTTTGTTTTGGGTGCTGCCATGTTGTGTTTTTGAAACCAGACTCTGTACTACAGGAAAGTAGGGCCATACCCTCAATATGTAAAGGACTCATGCACACTCACACTCGCCTCATTAACCAGCTGTCAATCACAAAGTGTACCATGACACTTTCATGTAAGCCTCAAGTAGTTGTTGTGAATTATTTGAAAGCCAATCAAAACTAAATGTAATTTTAAAARGCACATTTCAACACACAGGAGCAATGTACAGGCTATGTGTAAAAATAACACCAGTGTATTTTTATTTATTTATTTTTTTAGTCAGGCAAATGTTCAGTTTGTTTACATGGAGGGGCAGGGCTTAAAAGTCGCACTGCAGTCACTAGGAGGAGCTCGTCTTTTGTGGCTTCAACTTCCTGCTTCTGGTCCTCCTTCCAGTTATACACTTCCTGGCCAAAAAAAAAGTTGCAACTTGGATTTAACTAAGTGCTATTATCTGGAATCGCTGCAGTTGGTCAGGGTTAGGTTCAGCAACAGTATGTGCTCAAAGAATGATGTCAGCTGACTACCTGAATATACTGAATGACCGTGTTACTCCAGCAATGGATTTTGTTTTCTTCCCTGATGGCATGGGCATTTTCCAWGATGACAATAAATTGTGAAAGAGTGGTTCAAGGAGCATGAGACATTTTCACACATGGATTGGCCATCTGAATCCATTGAGAATATTTGGGATGTGCCGGAGAAGGCTATGTGCAGCGGTCAGACTCTACCATCATCGTTGCTAGATCTTGGTGAAAAATTAATGAAAAACTGGATGGAAATAAATCTTGTGACATTGCAGAAGCTTACTGAAACAATACCACAATGAATGTGTGCCTTGATCAAAGCTAAAGGCAGTCCAAAATTAGAGTGTGTGACCTTTTTTTGGTGGCAACTTTTATATTTTTGGCCAGGCAGTGTAATACATCTTGATAGTTTTAGCACTAAACTAATTTGAAAGACAAACAGTGTATTAGAGTGGGCAGATCAATCATTGACAGTTGTTATGTCATTAATGGCATGACAGTCAGCTACCAACTATATTTTTTGGATGAGTATTCTCTCTCTGTCCCACTCTTGGATCAAGTTCTTAAATTCCACTTTGAAAATATTCAATAACTATGCTTACATTTCAGATACCAAGTAAAGCCTTTATCTGGACTATCCAAACATAGGGATGGGTACCGAATTCGATACTTTTATAAGTACCGACCGAATTCTGTCGATACTACCGAGTACCTGTTCACGTAACATCAAACGGTACCATGTTTCGGTAACTAAACTCATCATTCCAACCATATTGGCGTAAGAGTGGGAGCTTTTCCATGCTCGTCCTGAACGCAGCATCGCGCAAGAGCGTAATGACGTCAGCATCCACTGTTTCAATAAACAGAGCTCCGTCTGAACGTAGCTTGAAAGCCTCGCAGCTCCTGGAGTGAAACTCAGCGAACAGACCGCCACTGAATTATCTGGTGGACTAATTATCTTGTGAGCACGACGTTCGCTTGCTCAAAGTAAATAAAGTACCGCCACTTTCTTTATTTCATGCTTATTTGATTTAACCTTATTTGCCTTCCATGGACCCCCATCACAAAATTTTTCTAGCGGGGAAATGACATCAATACATGGAGCTGATTTTAATTTGTGCAATAAGACAAACAGTCTTGTTTTCAAGAGTTTGCACATTAAAGTAATTTGTTAAATAACTGATATTACAATACAAAGAGCCTGATGTAGTCTTGATATTTGTTAAATTGTATATATATTGAGAAATATGTAAAAAGAAAATAAAAATTAAGTTTATTATTTAAAAAAACACACACTAAGAACCGAAAATTGGTATCGTTACGTACCGGTACAGATTCCCAGGTATCGGATATTGGTACAGAATTAATTCAAATGTCAAAAGGTACCCATCCCTATCCAAATAAATGGCTAACATAGTTTAATAGCATTTCACATTTTAGATCAAATGTCTGTGATATTATTTATAACTAGAAGTTTACAATTGGCTCAATTATGAGATGTGTTGGGCACAAATGGCAATGAAAAATTAAACGTGCTGAACCAAAATTGCTACCATCTGTAAAGAAAAAGTACATACCAGAAAATGTTTTGGTTTAACAACTCCACCATTATCCCAATAATTTGCTTTGTAATCTCTCCAAACAATCTGAAAAGAAAAAAAAAGTGATAACAGCACTCACAAATGCAAGCTACTTTACTTTTTCAACTGGGAGATGTGTTTAAAAAAGTATCTTYAGAATGGTAATGTCTTAAAATATTGCACAATGGTGAAAAAAAGGCCAACAACAAACCAAACTACATTAAAAAAATAGAAGAATTGGCACAATACTTCATGCAAGATGTGCGGCTGCGGCCCAACGGTGATGTAATTGCGTGTTTGTCACAGACAGCACACAGTGTTTATAATGGGAAAAGACATGGGGGATACATTATAGTAACCCCTACCTCTGCCCTCCCACCGCAGACGTCACGCACTAGCTTAGCATGTAAATAACTGCTAGTTGCTAAAAAAAAACTTGCTAGTTGCAAGTTTAGCTTGTACAGGAGAAGCGGGAGATGGAGAATGAAAAACACTTCTATTTTCAAATGTCCGCTGCTCGTTTCGAGGAACTTGCCCACCGGATTATTATTATTATTATTTTTTGCCCACTGGATCTCCCCTCACCTTCAGCACGCAGCGACGCAATCACAGATGGTTGTACCTCAGACCGCCTCCGCCTCGGTGAGTTTCTCTTCGAAACTATCCATGTTTAGAAACAAAAACGTAATGTTATGCATATAACTACTGTTCCCTGAAGGAAAGGAACGAGGTACAACACATCATGTATGGGAACCACGCCCCTGCGTGTCCTGGCTGAAGCCACCTCTAATCATGCCTTTAGGCAGGTGACGTGATGACGACAGATGTCAGGCTCCGCCTACACACATATATATACTGTCGCATCACAGTCACTCCTCAGTTTGGTAACCGCTCTTCACCGAGCCCTGCTGTGCAGCGGGGCCACCATGTGTTGTAKCTCGTTCCTTTCCTTCAGAGAACAGTAGTTATATGCATAACATTACGTTCCCTTTCAGTCAATACACTCGGTACAACACATCATGCATGGGACATATATAAACGCCCCGCGGAGCAGCACCAAACTTGGGTCATAATAACATGCTAGTGCAGCACTTCAGACCCAGCAGAGAGCACAGAGTGAGCCACCGAGGGGGCTGTCACATCTAAGCGATAAAACTGAACAAATGTGTGCGGTGAAGACCAACTGGCCGCAGCACAGATGTCACTCACAGGTATCCCTTTAAATAGGGCCCAGGATGCTGCTACACCCCTGGTGGAGTGAGCTCTCACACCAGATGGGACTGGGAGACCCCTGCTGCTGTAAGCTAAAGAGATAGCCTCCACAATCCAGTGGGAGAGTCTCTGTCTGGATAGAGCCCTGCCCGAGTGGGTTAGCAACACACACAAACAGCTGATCYCATGACCTCACCTCCTGTGTGCGGTCAATGTAAATACGCAGTGCACGTAGAGGACACAGAGAATGTAACCTCCTCTGRTCCTCAGATGCAAAAGTGGGAGGATAAAAACTAGAAAGCTCAATGGACATGGAGCTGTAGTTAGAAGYTATCACCTTAGGGAGATACGCTGAGTTTGGATGCAGAACCATCTTGGAGCCATCAGGTGAAAATTGAATACAGGAGGGATTCACAGACAGAGCATGGAGATCCCCGACCCGTTTAACAGTTGTTAGTGCTAAAAGCAACACAACTTTATATGACAGGGACTTCAAATCCACAGACTCCAGGGGCTCAGAAGGGGGGTCACAGAGAGCCTCGAGCACCACAGTAAGATCCCAGGTAGGGATACTGGGTTTAATAACAGGCCGCAGCCTACGGACCCCCTTCAGAAAACGCACTGCTAGAGGATGAGCACCTGGCGTAACTCCATCAAAACCCACATGGCAAGCAGAGATAGCTGCCAAGTAGACTTAATTGTGGAAAAATCAGACCTTTATCCAGCAGCTCCTGAAGGAATGTTACAACAGCCACCATAGAGCACTGAAACAGGACAATGTGCCTGACCTCACACCACTGCTCGAAAGTGTGCCACTTGTAGGTATATAAAACTCTAGTGGAGGGCGCTCTCACGTTCTGGATAGTTGCCACCACTGCCGGGGGAAGGCCCCTGGCTAGTAAGCAGGACCTTTCAGCAGGTAGGTGTGCAGCCTCCACAACTCTGGATGTGGGTGAAATATCTCCCCCCTTGCCTGAGAGAGGAGGAGATCTAGGCGAAAAACAAGTACCAATCTATTTCTACATTTTGTAAAATTGTAGGAGATAATAAATATGCAGTTTGAGATACAATACAGTACTCAAATGCTGTAGACCAGTGTTTCCCAAACTTTCTATCTTCTGACCCACAAAATATCCACAGCAAAAACTTGTGACRCCAAATATTACTGGTCTGAGTACACAAACTTRGTTAATAAACCTAAAAACACAGGCTTTTTGACAATCTAAACAGCTTGTACACAAATATAAATACTTTTTTATTCTTATTTTGTGTTTTTGTAATAATTATAGGGAAAATATTACATCAGCAATTATTTTATTACCCTTTAAATTGATTTCTGGAGATTATCCAAGGTGCTTCACGACCCATAATTGGGTCCCAAGTCCAACTTTGGGAACCAAAGTGCAGTGGTTCCCAAAGTTTTCAGCTTTTGACCCACAAAATAACAGTAGCAGAGACCTGTGCCCAACTATTTTTGGATGATAAACATTTGTATCATGTCAACAAAACATGGGCATAGTAAAAATATTTTTTATACTACATTTATCCATTTTGAATACACTAACCTCACTCCTTTGTAACAACTAAGGCAAAAATATAATGAATTCAGAAAATCTTTTCAGGACCCCACCCTGATGTTTCGGGACCCCACTTTGGGTCCCGACCCCAACTTTGGGAAACACTGCTGTAGACCACTACCCCTAAAAGGTGATAGAGCAGACTCATGTTTTTATGCCATTTGTTCCAAATTTGGACCTCACAACTCAAATGTAGCAAAAAGAAAAACAAACCAATTTGCGTCTCTGAATACACCTCTGTGAACCAGCTGCCACTGTACCCTACATTTATTGTTTTTTAGCTTAGAGGCAGAAACCACTGTTGTCCTCTGTTGCTGCACTTCGTTTTAAAGTTGTCATCTAGTGGGAAGTGGTTCAGTACTGTTTATGAGAAAACGCAAGTAAATCAAAAGTTTCTAAAACAACAGCAAATAACTTTGCTATTTTGGTCCATGTAACGCAACCCCACGCGTACTGTCACCAAACAAACAGCTGAGGAGTTGTATCTAATTTAGAGGCTTAAAGATTTATTAGTGATAATATTTGTATTTTATCCGATTGTTACTTGTTCTCTTAAATTTACTGCCCAAATGTCAACTAGCTAAGATCGTCTGACAAACTGAGGCGCCTGATTTTGATGCAATCAAAAACAACATAAAGCAACAATTGTTTAAACAGCAGCTAATGTTAAACACAGTTCACATACTAGAGTCGAAAGATATGCCGCAAAGTTTTAAGACAGTACTTTAGATTAAAAAAACACCACACCGGTAATATTCTAAGTTAGCCCCGTTACTTGTAACCAAATTAATCACAAGTGTCAGCTTTAAATGCAATAACATACGCAGTTACAGCTTGTGTTTGGCGCTATCGTTAGCGGTAAAGTTGATGCTAAGTGACGTGATGTTACTTCACTCTACCGTCACGGCTAACGTTAGCAAATCCCGAAAAGTCAACTTTCCTGAACTGACACACATTTAAACTGTAACCAGTCACATTATCATTTCATAGAAGAGTGAGTATTGTTTAACGACAAAGGGTTTGTCTTGTAAAGCCGTACGCACCAAAAGACAGTGGTGTGTTTTTGCGGCGTGTTTGAGGGTTTCAATCGAGCTAGCTAGCGTTGCCTGAATGCTGCGCACAATGCTTCATCCGTGAAAAATGGCGGTTTACACAGAAGATTTATACTTTACCCTTACAAATAAACTAGTTTCTGGTCTTGGATGCAAAGACCTGTGTAAATTATTTAAAACYGTTGATACACAATAGAAAAACAGTCTTCCACCACATAGCCTAAACCAGGGTCAGTAGCCCAGAACGKGTCTTTCTGCTTACCTCGAATGCATGTAACATCTACTTCTCCATCTTGCACTAGAGTGTGGTATGGTAGTTTGAATCTCGCGAGAATACAGGTCATCCTGACGAGATTATCAAAATAATMTTTTAGTTTGAAGGCATCGATCTAAAATTATATGTACACGCGGAAGTTCATAAAAAGATTTTCTAGGTTTTGTGAGAATATATTTTATTATTAAAGTCAAATAAAAAATAAACTATACTTAAAACTAGCTAGCTTAACAATCTGGAAACCAATTAGACAACTAACCAGGGGTGCCACCAAGTTGAGGTGGGAATGGAGCCCTCCCTAAAAAGTTCAAGTGCCCACCCAACAACTGAACAATTCATCCTCTTGAGTCCCAATCTTTTGCTTGGTGTGCATTTTTAATTTCCCCTGGATTAGCAGAATCTATTACATAAATACAACCTTATGATAGACCTTCATAATTTAGAAAAACAAACATTTGTGACAAAATAGAAGTTAGAAATAGATAAATCCTTATGATAGACCTTCATAATTTAGAAAAACAAACATTTGTGACAAAATAGAAGTTAGAAATAGATAAATCTCTGTCCATCCGTCTATATTTTATTTTAAAATATCTGAAGTCTAATCCCCCTGAATGTGAACAGCTGGTCTAAAACCAATGTCCTTGAAATAAGAATGCAGGATCTCAGGAGGTTATATGCATTATATAAATATAAATTAGGTAGATAAATRTTAATTGTCATTGTTGCACTGAAAAGAACACTGCGGTCCACAAACAATGAACAAAATAATTCTAAAAAAATTATGTATAATAGAGAGGACAAGCTTTAATAAGTTGAGTAGTGAGTGCATTTCTCATCAAGTAATATTAACTCTGTAAATAAATCAATACAGCAGAAAGGTGATTCCCGTTTTTAACTTCTTGGACTTTTACAAACACAAATTATTTCATGAAACTGAAATAACCTGGTACCCTCAAAAAGTACCTTTGTTTCCAATACAAAGAATATAAAATAACTTTTAGATTGCTTTATGTCTAGATGTGTTTATTACAACAAAATATTTATTGTGTATACCAGAAAAATACATAAATCCCAGTTTTTTTCTCAAATGTTAGGAAAACACAATTTTCCTGTATGCTTAAGTGCAGTGAACACAACAAATCTTACTTTTAGTTTCGTGGTGGTCAGAAAATAAATTCCATTAAAAAATGTCAAGGTAAATTTTAACTTCAATTTTTTGTTTTCAGGTCATATTAAAAACATGTCAAACACTTACCAAAACAAAAGAAAATATGAATATAAAACTAAGTGATGAAATTTATCAAGGGCATTTTTTCCAGCACACTTCCAATAGTACACTAACAAGACAACATGAACATAGTATGACAGGTAATGAATACAAATATAAAAAAGAGCTATCATGTTTCCTAAGTACAGCAATGTTTCATGTACAAGTTGTTACGAAAGATTTTTTTTAAACTACAAAAAGAAAATTAAATTACAACAAATATTTACATATTTCAGATCCTGCGCTTTCACAATGTCTTCATTTTAAATCTACACTTCCAACATTTGATCACTAGTACATTCTGTAGTAAAGAAAACAAATCTCTACAAATGACCCAAGAAAGCTGCCAAAATTTAGGGCAACATGCAGGAAACTATTCTCATTATCTGATTTTTTTTCTCAATTGTTTCCAATTTAGCTATATAAATTACAAATATTACAAATATTTACAATGACAAATAAAATAAACAAAAAAAACCCCCACTAAGATAGCAATGGCTACACTTTTTATACAAGCTTTACTTTCTTAAAAAAAGCGGAAAAATGAAGAAAACCATGCTACATTAAAACAGGCTAGGAAATCAAAAAATTCTGCCTTAGTTAATAAATATGTAAAATAATAAATATATAATGGATGTCAATAAATGGGGACACTGTCCTGTAATATTACCTGTCAAACAGAAGTTTATAAAAAATGGGGTAAACAGAAATACAAAAAAAAACAACCTACAGAATTGTTTGCAGCTATGCGCATTTTCCCTTTTAAAAATGTAAAATAGTACAATTTCTGAGCCTAAACACAACTTTTAAAAATGACTAAAAAATACTAACTATAATGACAAAAAATTTAAGTCCAATTATCAGAAAAAAATGTCATGGTCAGTATCAAATTTGTGACAATAGGGGTGCTACCAGCACATTACAGTGATTCCCAGATGTGCCTCTGACAAAACCTCGATGCAGATGTAGGTAAGTGGAGTTGGAAGAACATGTAATAAGGTTTGATCATAAATGTACATGGCAAACAAAACAAAAAAGTAGAAAATATACCACTCTCTTATTTTCCCTGTCCTACTTCACATAGGCTTTTTCTTCATTCTTACGGTCTTCAGACACATTTTTATATCTCTCACAAGAGAAGTTTGCCATTGCGATGGATTTTCAGAATTTTGCCAAGTCTCTGTTTTGCTGTTGCAAGGCCTTTCTTTGGGCGTTTGCCTAAAGAGAAGTAAAAAAGAAAGAAAAAGAATTCACAAGTCAATATACAATAAATAAATAATAATAAATAAATGCTGTGAATGTGCTCAGTCAGGTTTGGTGTCTACCTTGACCAATTCCTGTTATTCCTTGGCTGGCCAAACTCGCAGGGGACGCACCAGAATGACAGCTGCTATTTTGAGGTGACAGGGAAGGTCTTCGAGAAGTAAGGAATACACCAGGAGCCATGGCTCCACTGCCCCTGGGGCCTCCAGGACCAAAAGGTCCTGGCCCTGCTGTGTATTCATGGTCTAACAAACTGGCAGAGTAATAATCCATCCTCCTGTCTGGACTGACATCTGCTGCAGACTCTGGAGCAGGTGTTGGGGAGGGTGGGGCAGGTTCAGTTTGAACAGAGGGAGGACTGACGACAGGAGCAGGAGGATGTTGCTTTTTGGTGTACTTCCTTTTAGCAGGTTTTTGCTGTTCCTGAATCATAAACAAAAATAATAATAAGAAAAAAATACATATTTACCTTTTCTACTCCACAATACTCACTGTGCACGTATTTCTAACACTAATSTGCTCTCTTTTCACACTCACCTGCTGTGCCAACTTGGCAGCAGCTGCTGCAAGGCCTGTTTCTACCGAGGCAACTCTAGCCCCTTCCCTGGCAGGTCGCTCTTGTTTAGGAAGTGTCGGCATCACTCTTGCTATAAATTTAAAAAAGTTAAACAATGAAAGACTAACCATCAGAAAGTTGAAATAAAATGTGCCCTTTTTGCTAGGATATTAATTTGGATCACCTTTAGGACTCCAAGGTGTGTCATCCCAGTTTTTCTTCCTCTTCATCTTAGTTTTGCTGATATGGTCTTCCTCATCAGACTCCAAAGATGGATAAACTTAAAAAAATGTTAAGTACCACAACTTTTACTAAAGGAGTTTACTAAAAATACATTGCACAGTATCAGATACAAGACAGTGTGCTATTTACCATAATCTGAGTCTTTAAAACAAGTTCCCAGTGTTTCCTGCTCATCTGGACTTTCCTCATCACTCAGATGACGAGCTGGCCTTTTGATTGGTCGTTTTCCAGGCCGCTGGATGATTGGTTTCTTCTCAAGATTTGAAGTCTTCTTGACTCCTCCCGTCAACCATACAGTCCTTCCGCCTTTTTCCTTGATGACACCCAATCCCTCAGTCAGGCCCCCAGAGAGAGATGAGGGAGAAGAAGATGAGGAAGAGGAGGATGAGGAAGGAGGGTTGGCCATGGAAAGCATACCCTGGATGGCGTCTCGAGTGCTYGGTGAGGCTGGGGCTTCCTCACTAAGAGCAAAAAAGAAAATGTTAACAGTATGTGCAATGTTTAGCCTTTCAAATAGTTGAAAAATAACWTTTTTAAAGATGATTGGATACTTGTAAAATCATTAAAATGCTGCTAAAACAACAAGACATTATATTAAAACACATCAATAAAGAAAGCAACCCTACCTGAGTGCTGCAGAGTCTAAGCCTGCCACTTGTTTGCTGGCCTTTAACAGGTCAAGAATGCCTCCTGCACCACCTTTCACTCCATGGGCTGRCAGTGCCTCTTCATCGGTGGTGTAGTCCTCCTGAAGCCACACACAAACACATTGCTTTGAGTGCTGAAGAACAGCTTTAAATGTGAACAATTTAACTGAAAAAATAAAATAAAATAAAATAAAACATTTGCTGGATAAGAATCATCCAGATGATAAATAAATTGCTGTTCGACAGACTTCCTTTAAAACATAATTTTATTGTGCTTTGTGACTGTGTGGAAATGATCYAACAACCAGTTCTATCTGGCTCAGCAGGGTTAAAACAAAAGTGAAAATAAGAAAGCTGCCAATATACAACCCATATCAGTTACAGTATGATAACCTGACACTGGCTAAACACACAAAACACAACTGAACTTGGTATGTTTAATATAAAATGTATAGCAAAGTTAAACTGCTTTGGTAGAAAAACTAACAGCTGTATTCTGAAAATGTGATAATATGATCCTCAAACATGAGTCTTTGTCCTTGAATGAAGCCTTATGGATGCAGCCTTCAGGTCAGGGGACAAAGTATCCCTTAGATTAGCAAAAACCTACTTCTACCAACCCACTGAGAAGGCTAAGTAGGTGTACACAGAGATAAAAACAACAACACACCAGTGAAGATCGTGTCACTAAACTTAATTTGCTTTAATCCGTCTTATCTGTCCTGTACTTTAAACTTAGGAGGAAAAGCAACAGAGCAGCGCGTAAATAATATTGAAAAAATCTTTATGTTCAGAGGGGTAAAAGCTCAAGGAAGCTTTAGTTGAAACCACCCTTAGCATATTTGTGAGTCCACATCACTGACATTTTCTTCTGAACTCTTAACACCAAACATCTGAGGTGAAGAACTTCTTTAGAAGGTTTAACAGACTGAGAACTTCCCCCTATATTCACACCATTTTTTACAAATTATCTCTGATTACGCATTGTGAAATTGCAAATGCAATATAACTCATAAGACTGCAACATGTGGTGAGGGTTGCTGACAGTCTTGCTTCTCTGTTTTGGACAATTCTCAAGAAGAGATACCAGAAAAAAACAGGTCTTGCAAAACTGAAACCCATTTTTATTGTTACCCCATTACAACTTTCATGGCTCCTAATTGGAAATCATAAGGGTTGAAAATATTTTTTTTTCAAAAAAGAAATGTGGCACCCCTTCAAAAAAACTGATACATCATAAAATGTCACTGATTCCTTTAACATAAAGCCTCATTTTTTTATGGATGTTTCAATATCCTGTGTTAATCAGACCAAGCCTGGAAAAGCACACTAATATAATACGGACATTTTTTGCTGGTTTTACACGTAACATTTGGTTTATCTGTAACAAATATACCTCAATGTCAAAGTCTACTTCTCCTGGCTCCCTGATGCGATTGGGGTCAGAACAAGGTTTAGCTCTTGGCAGCTTCCTGGGAAGACCTGTGGGAAAATTTTAACACCATGAGTTAATAATGGCTATGTTGATTTGAAATCGCACAATAGATGCATTTTAGTAATGCTTTTGTTTAAAACAGTTCTTACCGCTAAGTTTTTTCTTCTTGCTTGGTCCAGCAGACTTGCGTCGTGGAGGAGGAGTCTCGTCGATCTGGAGTTCATCCTCAGACTCCAGCTCTGACAAACTGGATTCTTCTGTGGCAAGATGTTTGTAGTTTGCAGCAGTTCCTGCACCATTGCTGCTACCATCTTTCTTACTGAAAGCAAACAAACTATTGAAAACTCTAAACTTTTATCAACACAAGCTACCAGAGATTTTTTTTCTGATTAACGCTTACCCTTGGATTTTTCCATTGCTGAGGACAAGTTTAAGTTTGTTTTTATTTAGCTTTCCCTCAAACTCCTCTAATGGCAGCTCCATCTGTGTAGACAAATAATAACTGTCAAAATAGGAAAATAAAACCGTTGGACACAAAAGCTGCTGAGAAGCATCCCACTACCTTGCTCTTGTGCTTGGACTTGCCAGGTTGAATTTTTTTGAGTGTATGCTTGGTATGGATCTCAATCAGGTCAAGTTCTTCTGCTTCGGACTTAACAAGTSCCTTCTGCCCTTTCTTTTTGGTTCCAGGGACCCCCAAACCTCCCAACACCTCTTTGGGTTTGGGCCCTTTCTTTTTTCCAGGGGGTCGTCCAGAGTTCTGAGAGGCGCTGAGAGGAGCTTTAGAGAAAGGTGCACCCGGAAACTGAGTTCCTGTACGGCCAAGGTTCTGTTGAAATATATCCTAACAAAGAAAAAAGTACAGTTTTAGTAAGTGGAACTGACAGTAATATGGGTAGCAATAAATATGTACTTTAAAACAAAATTAGAATTTGTGTTGTTGTTTTTTTACCTCAACAAGACGGATCTCCTTGGCCAGGTCCTTCACTAATGTCTGAGTATTGATGGTCTCTGGTATCTCCGATTCATGCTCAGCTAAGGCCTGGGTGTAGGCAAAAAATTATCACTAATCTTTTATAAAATCAAATTAATTAATATCAAATTAAAACTATTTTTACTAACACTGTGGTACATCCAATAATACTTTGAACTGTTTTTACAMAAAAGTGGTTTATCTGCTTTTTTGTAGAACTAGATAACAAAATATTCCCTCTCGTCTGCAATATCTGTGTTCAAAGCATGATGACTGGAAACAGAAAAATGTTGGTTACATTATGATTTAAATAGCAAAAGTCACACAAGAATTTGCATTTAACTGTCCCTGCTGTGTGACCTTTGTGATTTTACCTATAGAAAATGTTACATTTACATCACATGATGGATCAGTCAGCAGCAGCTTCAGATCAATATGTGATCCATGATGTGAAATAAATGTAACATTTTCTACATTAAGGTAAAATTAATCACTGCAATAAAATAACTGTTTTTGTCACTTTTACGGTGGATTGCATCAACTCTGTTACATTACAGAAGGGAAACTTCACCAAAGTGAAACATAAATCTGTGGATCTGTGTTTGATTACTCTGGCTGACTTTCTCAAGGACCAGGATGTGTGACACAAAAATCTGAATTTTGGAACTGAAAGTGAAAGTAGTCAAACTGAATTTTTAATAAACCAAAACACAGTTTCAAAGCAAATTAATTCCAATACAAAACTTTAAATTCAGTTTCATTTTAGTAAAATTCATTTTCAAACCAATGCAWTCCATTTCAAATTATGCACATTCAGATTCAATCTGAGCAATTCAAATTCAATTCCTGCTGGCACAAGATTTATCCCATAAATTAGCTCCTAAAAATGATTGATCTCAATTGTCTTAAAATGTTGCAACTTCATATTACCTTTAAAGATTAAGAAGTATCCTACAGTATATATATATATTTTTAATTTAATTACCTCCTAAAGATCATTCAAATAAAGATTCGATATTACGTAATTGAATAATATAGCATCTCTCCTCAATTTATTTAAGATTTAATAGAACAAGTTAATGGATAGTAACACAGGAATCACAACTTGTCTGGTAAAAAAAATGACACAACCAGAGAGGGCGAGAGTCACACTAAAAACTGCATCAAATTCTACCTCTTTACGGGTCCAGCTGCGGAAGCCGTTGTTCAAAGCTTTAGCTCCATGAACAAGATAACTGGCAGGGTGCCTCCGATTTTCTCTCAAACCTGTCAAGGTTATCAAAAAGTTAATAATAGTAGGTAATAAAGACACAATACTTGAGGAGCTCACATAAAAACACAATAACACTTTAAAATTCATTAAAATGCCTCACCTCTAAAGGTATCAAGAAGGTGCTTCCCAACATACCAACAAACCGTCTCAAAGTTTGGAAATTTGAACAACTCAGCTGTGCTTAACCTCTTCTCTATTTCATATGCCCTAAAGCAAGAAAAACTTTAGTTATTGCTCAAAATATGCAGGTTAGTTCTGTAGATACACAACAGTTCTTATCTTTAAAGATCAATTGTTCTTGAGAACTGTTTTGTCCCGATTGATGCAGATTAAAAGGAAATACACATAAAAAATAAGTTTTAATGATGTTTTGTTTAAAAGACTTATATTTAAGAAAATTGTGACCACAGTTATTGTTCAAATAGTATTTTAGACAAAAAAAAAAGGTATGTTAGGTAAGAGTCTTGTAAACACTAACCTCAGCTGCATGTCAATGTTGAGACTATGCAAGAAGTTTCCTCCAAAGGCCAAACAGTCCACAGGAGTCAYCACAGCATGAATCCATCCTGGAAATGGACAAAAGTGTTATTTGATTGACAAACTTTATTTGAACGTTTCAGTCAAAATAAAAACACCCTTCACTTCCTAAAAAGAGCTCTTAAGTTGTTTGCAGGATAGAAACACAGCTTGATTTAAAAGCTGGAAAAATATACAAAGATGCCAATTAAAATTTTATTTTAACTAAGGAGAGAAGATAAAAACACAAAACACTTAACACAAAATTGTAAATGTTAAAAAATAAAAGCTCTTCCTATAGTTATTTTGTGACAAAGACATCCTACTATGCACTACTGCAAAGACCAAAAGTTAGAAACATAAAACTGTTCACAGAGGAAAGTGAGGTTCCAGTTTTTGCTTTTCTGATTGTGTCTTCTTTGAATATTTTCCAAACAATAACACATATTTTTTGTATTTTCAAAGTTCAACCATAGTTTATTCTATTGTGTGACTGACAAAGCTAAAAACACTTTAACTTTTTCAAATTAAAAACAAAACAATTAAGCATTTTGTTTTACCTGTTGGTATGAACAGGGTGTTTCCTTGTTTGAGTGAACACTTGTAACACATATCAACCTGATCTCCAAAGAACATCTCATTCTGGTTTGTTGAGGAATTCCAGCGTTCAAAAAGTGCCAGGTTTGCCGGAGTGGGAGATATTAAGTAGAAGATTTTCTCACCCTGTGTAAACACAGAAAAAAGAAACTTTTACAATAATATCAGTTCATTTATATTTAAGGAAAACAAAGTGAATTGAAACTCATCAAACATAATATCTGTCCTCTCACCCTCAGGACATGGTACCAAACTGAGGTGCCTCCAAAGTCAATGTGGAAGTCTGTGTAACTATCTTTCACTCCCATCAGACAGTACTTCTGCACATTGGGGCGTTCAAACACAGACTCTTCAGGCCAGAGGTTTTCCACCCATGAAAGTTTCCTCACAATCTTGGGGGTCTCCACCAGGTTTGAGAGCCTAAAGCAAGTCCACCATGTCACATCTATTACAGTACAGCACAAACAAGGAGATATTCTTCTACTTATTTGATTGTTTCGTGTACCTGGTGTCAGAGAACTCAAGGCTGATGACATTGAGTACTTTGTCCCTGTTAGGGCTGTTGTAGTATTCAACAAAGTCTCCCAGTCGCATCTTCAGATCACACTGTCGAGGTACGTCAATCACATCAATCTCTTTGTCTGCACCTAAAGTTGAGCAGGTTATAAAAGCATAGATGCTTTGTGAATGACATCAAACATCAAAAGTTATTCTCTTTTATATAGAGTTACAAAAGTGTATTGAACTATGCTCACTTTCTTTATATTTAGCTGTAAAAGAAGCCTGACTTTCTTGTTATCCATGAAAATGTTTCCTGTCTACAGCAGAACAGTAATGATGCATTCACACCAAATGCGATTTGGGCGTCAAAAACGCTCCCAACGCTTCTAGTTGGACGCTTGAGCACTTTGTGGTCAGACACTTGTCAAAAATGCTTTTGATGCACGTCAAGTGTGTCGAGAGCCTCCTCTGCCGGTCTCTGTTTAATGGCGGATGAAATAAAGGAAGTGGCTTTGCTTTATTTACTGACACGTCACGCTCACCAGAAAATTAATTCATACTTAATTCACCAGATAATTCAGAGGGGTTCTGAGTTTAGTGGGTTTCACCACTCCAGGAGCTGCGAGCTGACGAGGCTCACTTTCAGAACTATTTTTGTCCTGAGCCCAGTTTGATGAACCGCTGACTCGAATTGGTGCCCACATCTCCTGGACACTGACTACAGGCACTTGATTTAAGTTGAAGAGCTGCAAAAGTTCAGATTTTACAACTCCTCAAAACACACCATGCTAGACGCACTTCCCAACGCTCCTTGATGCGCCGCCACCATAGACTTTGCATGTAAACCTGATGCCTGGAACTAAGAAATGCATCATTCTTTAGTTTCTAAACTTAGTGTATATTTGAATAATGAAAAATAGAATCACCTTACTGGTTGGGTGGTTAAATAAGTAAATAAATACACAAATAAACAAACAGCAAATCCATCTGAGCAAGGTTGATAGTTTCAAAACAAGGCACAACCAAAGAAACAGGACAATTTGTGTCCTTACAGCAGGTTGTGGAGTACAGAGCTCCTAAAGAGTTTAAACTTGCTCTACCAACTGTACTAGCGTGGTGATGAGAACAATAAATCTTGTGTTAAAAATAAAAATCTCAAAGCCTATAACACTATTGCTGGAGACCACTTTTCAAAATTCCAGAAACCTTAGAATTATTCATCAAAGGAGGAAAATTCAAAATAGAGGTGGCTCAAGATTTTTGCCTTGTACTTTATGAAAACAGTTCATGATATTTGTGAAGGATGCAGTGAAACTTTACCAATATAGTGCTCTATGTCACTGACGCTGAAGGATGATGGAGGAAGGGTCATGCCTAAGCCATCCCGCCTCAGCACCATTACAGGAACGCTGAATGAATGCTCTTCCAGAAACTCAACTGTCAGCTGCACCCCGGATGGCTTGAGCAAGATTTCATCAGCACTGCAAAGACACACAAATAAAAGCAAAAGAAATAAAGGAATAAAGTATTTTATAATTTGACAGCAGTACGGCCTACTCTCTATGCAAAGTGTAATATTGTATTAGAGCTGAAGATGATGGACTAAACAAACTGTTCCCAATTTTCATTGAGGAACAATTTTCTCCAGTTGTTCCGCTATGTTTAGACAGTGTTTTACAGACTGGTGAACCTCTGCCCATCTTTATTTCTGAGAGATTCATCCTTCCATCATCTTAACCCGTTCTTACCTCGGGAAAGTGCGGCTCCGAAGCTCTCGAACAAACTGGGAACTCCCCGTCTTAACGGGACGACTTGGATCTCTTCCTCCGCTAGTGCTTCCATCTGTCTGCTTATTGCCTCCACGTCGTTTACGCACTGCAAAAACAAAGACGTTAGAGGAGAAAAAAATAAAATCAACTAAAGAACGCCTAAAAAGAACAGATAACAGGAACAGAAACATACACTTAACACATATTGTAGCAATTTGATAGCCAAGTGATTTTAGGTGACATGAACGCCTGAAAGCAACATTCTGTGGTCATTCTGCTAATAACTTGTTATTATTGCAATAAGAAAATAAATTAAAGAAAAGAAACTTACTAACAGACGGCCCATGGGTAACTTGACAGTTGGGACAGTGATAGAGGTCAATCTCAGTTGCTTTTTCTTCCTCTACTCCAACACAGCTACATAAAAATCAGACAAAAACATTAGTATTATACAGGCATAAATGGTGCAGAATAATACAGACTAAACAGCTATACTAATTTTGACAAATTCAAAACATACTGCACCTGTTAAAATATAAAGACAAATGACGAACAAATAAATAAAATAGCATTAACATTCAAAACTTGCAGTAAAATAAAATAAAATACTTACCTTCCATGAAACCAGTCTTGACAAATGTCACACTCAATCATAAAGCGAGTCACATCGTAGGGCAGGCGACACAAACAGTACACTGGCACTGATGCCATTTTACCTGTACACAAAATTGATTTTAATGTCAAATAAGTACTGACTTTATAATGGAAAGACTTCTGGAGAACTTAAGCAATGGTTGGATAGGAAGTTAACCTGTCAATTCACTTCCAGAATCTTCTGGCAGAAATGCACAATGGAATTCCCCTGAAAATCTAGCAAAACAACAACAAACACATAAACAATAAAAAATGTTAGTATCTGATGTTGTGCTGAAAGAACACCTTGACATGGAAAGATGGTAGTTTAATTCGCAACTTAAGTGAGAGTCACATATACATTTCACTAAGAACATACAGTATTACCCACAGTTATTTCCTTTTGGTCTATATTTATATTTTGTATATAACAAAACATTTTGTTCCAACCTTAAAGTGTTATAATAAAGGGACTGATAAAATAAAAATAGTACGCAGTGAGAACCAGGGGTGTAACAATATATCAATCCACATCTACTAATAATTTAGTTGAGGCAAAATGGGGAAAAAAAATCGATCCACATCGTCATTACATATTTGAATCCCAATCAGATGGCATATGATGTTGCATGATATTGACAACAGACTTGTAAGCTGAATTGAATCAAAATCGTATTGTCATCCAAACAAATCAATATAGTATGGTAATTTGGTGATTTGCACCCTTAGTTGGAACTGTGTTGTTGTAATTAATTCTTAAACATGAACAGCAAGTGCATTAATTATATAACATAATCAAACAGTTTTATTAAATAGACATGGCCAGAAAACCAGATGTCAGTTGTTACTGGTTTGTTTGTTTGTTTGTTTGTTTTAAACAATCGTCTTATCGTAATTCATACTGTAAGGATGGCTTCCTGGCCGCAGGAGTGTTATCTGGAATGACAACCACCTCGCATGCTTTTTAAAGGGTAGCTGGTCAGGAACTTGCTCGTCATAACATACATAGCAGTCTCAGATACCTAGTTGAACACTTAACTTGTTTACGTTTTTATATTATTTATTTATTTTTTCGGTAGCATGGCACAGTCAAAAAGTGACAAATATCTGAATAAATAAAATATACGATTTAACTCCAACCAAGGGGATACGTACTTTTTTATACTTTCACAGAATTTAAAAGACAATTTGTCTCTGCTAATTGTTTATTACGCTACAATTGCCAAGCTTTCAGGTTGTCACGTTAGCTGCTAGCTAGCTGTTTGTAAACACACGGTGCAGGACAAGTGTTAAATTCAATGGTTAAAAAAACGTAGCTGTGAAGTTATAAACTTTATACCTATTTATTTTATCACCAATTCTTCGGTTAGTAAAACTGTCTGATTCTAGTAAAGCAAACCACAGCTAATCTAGCACAAACCGCATGCAACTCACCGATGCGAACGTCTGCGGCAGGGCCACGCYCTGAGGAGCGGCTGTAATCTCTACGCGAGCTCGGGGGCCTACGCGGCCTTATTATGCAACGTCAATTATTAGCAATTTCCTTCAACACATTTTTGTTTTACAACCCAGWAGCACCCAAAGACCAAATTCAGGCATAGATGTTCGCAGTGCATCAAAAAAGCTAACCCTGAAAATAATTAAACGAGCACACCCATTAAAAATAACAGCGTATTAAAGTGCCTCAGCGCCATTTCAAAGGGGATCACGTCAAACCGTTGTTCGTTGTTGTCCGTGAGTGAATGAACAATAAAGTTTGAGCAGTCAAACGTAGTTACAAAAAAAAAAAAGGCTTCAACCAAAATGAGAAATGAATAAAAATACAACACAAAGATACACATTGTAATAATAATTTATTGTCAATAAAGTACTAAAAAAGATCAAATAATTGTGGATGCATTATAAATCAAGAAAACGAAATATTTTTTTTGGACAAACTACATCTGTTAACTTATATTGTTCTCTACACAGACATTTTTATGTGTTGTTGGCACCATGTAAAACACAAATTACCAAGTTTTCCCAGTGGTATAAGACTGCCAGCATCAGGCCTATAACAAATCACACAAATTTCCTTAATTTTTGGGATGTGTTTATAGTCAACATTTTATCTAAAATGTTAGAATATCTCCGGAACTGCTTTCTCTTGGAGTCTGTAGACATAACACAATATTAAAACTGTCAAGTCAAAATAACAATTTTTCTATAGAAAATATGTGTTAACTTTCTACTGGAATGTTAAGGATTCTTAAACATACAAATTATCCTGCATGCAATAGCAGTATATTGGTCTATAATTGAAGTAAAGTTGGATATGTTCTGTCAGATCTGACTTATCCTGTTAAGAAAAAAACAGCTGCTTGTTCTTTGCATTAACTAGAATTAAGCAGAACTGCATAGGAAGGCAAGGGCCAGGATAGATCTGACCTGCTCTGGCCACTCTGATCAATCAGAACACAACCAATTATTTATTTTTGCATTGATTGACTGATTGATTTATTTTATTTAGCAGCAATATTGCATGTACATATACATCTAGTACATTCATTCACAAGAAACACTTATTTCCATTGTGGTCCAAAGTGCAACCAGTCTGAGAGTCACTTCACTGACCCTGACT